TATCGAATCTTATTTTTTAAACTTCGATATATAGCTATTTAAATCTCCTCCTCCTCCTCCTCCCCCCCTCCTTATCGCTATTCTTATTAATAATCTTATTTTTTAATAAAGCAATAACGACGAAAGCGTTTAAAGTAGTATATAGCTGATGACTAGCGAATCTAGTAGTAGAGGTAGTAGTACGAAACCGCAGCACCTTCATAAAGTTCTTTATCTTATTCTTTAATCGTATAACTATTTCTCTTAAAACCTCTATCTCTTTTTAATTAGAAGGCGATATTTAATATATTTACTTTAATATATATAACTTTATTTTAATCTTTTTTAGAGCGTCTATAAAGATCGCTTTCTTACTTAGATTCCTCTAAATTTATTAAATAAAATAGGCCCTCCGCAGTTTATCTATATTATTCTTTACTCGAATTAAATTACTTAATTACTAAAGCGCTTTAAAGAGCGATTAATTAACTATATCTAAATAAGATAATAGCTTAATTAGATTAAGTAGATAAGGCTAAATAAGCTAAGTCTAAGTATACGCGTATTACTATAAAAAAAATATTAAGACTATTAAAGTATTAGCTAATAGAGCGAATAGCCTTAAACTTACTACTATTAATACGGATTATATTACTATTAATACGCATTATACTATTATTATTAAAAGCCTTACGTCGATAAGAATAAGATATCTAATTTATTAAGTAATATACTAATTAGTATTAAAGTAGTAGTAGAAGTAAGAATAGAAGAATTAATAATCGTATAAACTTCCTTCTTAACCGACTTGATCTCTTTATCAATGGCCTTTATCTTTATAATCTAATCTTATTAAGACTTTATTCGCTTCTATATTCGTATAGATAGATTTTTAATATTAATACTATATTCCTACTTCGCTATAGCCTTATTCTATTTAGTAATTTAATCGTTATCGAGTAGATAATAAGTATCGTTGAGATCGTCTAATTATTAATAATAATACGTTCTTTCTCGATAGTCGAGCTTTAAATATAGCCACAGCTTCATAATCTTATAGCCTTCGGATTTAAGCTTTCTTTTCAATTTCTTCGCCTTCTTTATATATAATATTTACTTAATAATAGCGCTATTAAATCTAGACGTCTTAATCTTCTTCTTCTATTTCTTTTTCTTATTAAATTTAAATAATTTAGAATTATTCGATATAGTAGCGAAGTTATCTAAAGAAGAGTTATCGTTAATAGTTTTACTAGTCTTCTTTTACTTCTTCGAGAAAAACTCTTTTATAATAAAGAATTCTAATTTAGAGAAATCTTCTTTAAAATTATAGATATATATAATTCTTATAGTAATCTCCTTTCTCTTTTTCTCAACTAGCTATTATCTCGCTAAATTATTAATATTCTCTTACTTAGTAATATCGTTATATTAACTATTTATAGTCTTAATATTTTCTAAAAATAAGAGCGTAGTAATAGCGCTCTTAAGGATCACTCTATAGTCTTTCTTTTTCGCCTTCTATTTAACCTCTTAAATAGCGATCGAATTAAACTTATAGAAATCGAATCGTTTAGAGGTAATAAAACGAGTATATATCTTCTTTTCTTTTTATAAAATACTCATATTAATAGAATAAATCGATAATTTTATAGAAGAATTAATAAACTAAAATTAAACGATAAAAGAAGAGCTTTATTCAATTTTATTAAGCTTATTAATAAGAAAAAAAGGTTTCTTCGTCGACTTAGGTTTTAAAATAGATTTTTTTAATTTACGCCCCTCTTTAATAGTATTAATAACGATTATAACGGCCTCCTTATTAAATCTATTAGGAGGCCGCTTATTTTATATACTAATAGCTATATTTAGTAATAGCGAGGTATAAAGAGATTAATGGGAGCGATAATATAGTGAGTATATCTATAGTACGATTTTGGGTGGGGGGGGGGTGCTAGCCCGAATGCTAATTTTCTAGTTTCCCAATGATTAAGAATATAGGGTTAGTACCTTAGGGCTGAACCGAGTGAATCCGATGCCGCTAACTTGTTCGAATTTAGCCAGGGGTGCTCGTACTGGTACTGGCATGCCGCAACAGCCAGCGACCTGTTCTTTCAATTAATTGACATCGAAATTTCTCCTGCCAGCTGCATTCTCTTCGCTATCTTTCACATCGTCTTATTCCATACTTATTGTCTGGGCTTTTCGGAACCTTTCAATGCCCACATTACTCTACAGTCTCATTTGCTAACGTCCTGCAAGCAGCCATTGTGGCGAAGGCGAAGGAGAGCTCCTGCACCCTCTCCACGGCATTATTTGGCCCTGAATATATCATTGAGAGCTATGAGGTTACGACAGCTGCCATCATTACTACTGCTTGTACTGATACCTTGTACTTCGGTCGTTACGGCCTTCGTGTCTTCAGAAGAAGCTGTTGCCTTAGCAGATGGAAAAGAATTAGGGCCGCCTCCTGATCTATCAGCAAGCCCAGCCTCCAAGCCGGGCGTGGATGGCATTGGGACTATAGATGCTCCGGTCGACGGCAAAGATGGAAGACCGCACCTTGGACCTTTCGTCGAGACTGGCGCGGAAAGAGATCGGAAGAAGGCCAAGGAAAACAGTGGAGATGCAGATATCAAGAAGCCCATACCGGAAGGGGTGCCTACCGGCGATGGCCCCAAGATACCAGAGACGAATGATGGTGTGATGGATGATCCGCACAGGACTGGGCCAAAGGAGGGTACGAGAGGAACTGAAGGTGGCATATCGGAGAAGAATAAGGATAGAAAGGCAACTCAATTGGACGGCGCCAAGCCAGAGAAGAAGCCAGATCCACCGAAAGAGGTTCCGCCTTTGCCTCACAGCGAGCAAGAAGGCCTTGACCCAAAGGCTGCGAAGGATGAGGGCAAGAAAAGCAAGGAGACTGGGACTGAAGACAAAGATAAGCAGAAAGAGCTAGGAGGCCTGGAGGTAATGTGATATGTTCGAACCACTGAAATAATGCAACTTGCTAACGTGTCATTATTCTAGAAACCTGCCGATCTCCCTGATAAACCTCATGACCTTCCACACCCTGTTCCGGCCACAGCCTCAAAGAGCGACCCTCTAGCAATTCTCGCGCCCTTCACACCTTCCATCCCCATGCTCACCGGCAATTCCGCCTCTCTCATTCAACCGCTGCACTCTTTCGTCCTCTCCCTCACGATGATCATATTTTCCGAGATTGGCGACAAAACGTTCTTGATCGCTGCCCTGATGGCGATGAAGCACCCTCGACTTATTGTCTTCTCTGCCGCCTTTACCGCCCTCATTGCAATGACAATCCTCTCTGCCGTTTTGGGCCACGCTGTCCCTACCCTCGTTCCAAAGAAATATACGAATCTACTGGCGGCCCTGCTATTCCTTGTCTTTGGGGCAAAAATGCTAAAGGAAGGCTACGCAATTCCACCGGACCAAGGAGTCAACGAAGAGATGAAAGAGGTAGAATTGGAGCTTGAGGAGAAAGAAGAACTTGCTCGTAAGATGGGTCGTCGACGGTCTTCAATTTCGCCATACATACTTGAATCGGGGAGAATGAATGCACGCAAGACTCGGTCCAGCACCCGTCTTCCTGCCCCTCCGGACTCTCCTCCGTCCTCCCCAGATGGGTCGCGAAGTCCTTCACCCAGCAGAGGCTCGACCATTATGAGCTTATTTGCAGGAGTCAATAATCTGTTTTCCTTACTACTTAGTCCAGCGTGGGTACAAACCTTTGTTATGACCTTCTTGGGTGAATGGGGCGACCGGAGTCAAATTGCTACGATCGCCATGGCGGCTGGCCAAGACTACTGGTGGGTGACTGGGGGTGCAGTGAGCGGGCATGCAATTTGTACTGCAATCGCCGTCATTGGGGGTAGAGCTATCGCAGGGAGGGTCAGCTTGAGGATCGGTAAGTCAAGCTTACTCCATTTTCAAAGACCATCTGCTGACCTACTTCTGCAGTAACACTTGGAGGCGGGTTTGCATTCTTGGTGTTTGGCATCATTTACCTGATCGAGGCAATGTATGTCGAATAATGGAGGGATTCGGGAACCGTGAAGCATTGGGAAGGAGTTTTGAGCCTTCATATACGGCCTGGCGCATGAAAGACTTAGTTATTGCACAATTAAACTATTCTTTGTCCGTTACTGTTGAGCTTGTCCTTTTCCACGTGCACTAAGGTATGCACATAGACACAAGTTGTCATACCATAGTATTGTACCTCTTGTGGGAGAGTGAGATAATTTTCAGACTTGACGAAACCACGAATCACCAACATGCAGAACATATTACCTACAAGTAAACGTAGCTACGGCAAACCATTTGGACCAGGGGGTCAACCACGTAGCCAAGACGCTAGGCCTACTTCTGACCCACGAGTTCATGACAATCACATGTGAATCACACGAGATGAAGCTTTGATCTTACAGTTCTAATTGATCATTGAAGAAGAAATAAATACCATACGAGCAGTGTATTCATTAAAATGACGAGTGTGTTGACCCACTATCTACAGAAATCTAGGAAGCTAATCTGATCGAGATGATTAGTGCTCGCAAACAGTGAGGCCATACAGAAATGACGCATGCACAAGTAGATATGTAGATATATGATTGGGCATATCCAACACTGGGGCAGCTAAGACCTTTCTGGACATGCAAATAGCCCAGAAAAGGCCCCCCAGCGCTAGAAAAACTCCCATGTCTGAGCGACATGCCCTGGAGTGAAAATGAAGCTATATATAGGTGTGGGTGGGAGGGAGAACAATGATATGGCTCTGAAAGAGAAAAATTCGAATGAAGAGCCCACTACTGGTGCAGTGGCCATACAAATAGTACTCGCCATGGCCACCTGTCTCCCTACTATCGCATATCGCATAATGATGGAACGGTTGATCAAACAACCACCAACGCTATGGCCTCATAATGGACCCACTAACCCACAGTCCCACTGTTGCGAGCAGACCAGCTTTCTTGTCCGGATGTGTCTACAGCCAATCGACCTCATCCCGGTAGTTTCTGGTTCCCTAGGTGTTCCTTCTCACTGATATCTAGGTCCCACCTCATTGGCACCGGATTGTGCCAACTGAAAAGCCCCTTCGGATCCCACTGTCTCTTCAAGGCCGACAGCTTCTGCAGCTTGCGTGCGGAATACCATGCCGTGGGACCCTCGTCTCCGTGCGCAAAGTTTACATAGGTGGCAAGGGTGTCGAAACCGCTCGTCTCTGCAAACCGGGCACGGGCCGATGTGACAAAGTCATCTATAGCGTCATCGTTGCCGGGGTCGGTATAGAAACTTTCGATGTTCCTGAAGAACCGGGATGTGTCAATGACCATCCATGCAAAAGGAGAGTGGGGAGGGGAACCTACATGTGTGCAATCGCATCACGCCATGGGTACGCTGTCTCAGCATCCGGTACCGCTGCCACGGCATCGTTGGAGAAGCGCTGTATTAGAAGGCGGCCTTGGTAGTCAGGATACTCACGCCAAAAGTCCGTAAGACGGGCATAGAATGAGTCGAAGGTAGGCGGATCGAACTGTTTGAGGGCGAGGGTGTAGAGGTTTATACGTTGATTAGGCACGCAGGTTCCATGGTCAGAAGGAAACATGGTATTCTGGGGAATCATGGCGATGTTGCTCACAAGGGGCCCAAGGTCCTTGAAAGGCTCCAAATAAGCTTCGCCATCTTCCTGCGGACCAAAATAGACCGCATGGAGCACGATCAGCGGCTGCAGGGTTGTTAGCGATTCTCATGATACCGGTAAAAGACGCTCACCAGATCGATGGTCCGGTTGTAGACCGCTACTGCAGTCAGGGCCAATCGAGACGGCATTGCGTGCTCGAAGGACTGCAAGGTCCTCCAAAAGGTATGATTGGCGGTGGCCGGATAAACCAGGTCGGCGACCATGACTTGCCCCTTGTTGGTGATATCGTAAACCTTGAAAGTCGCGGAGGTGACGACACCAAAGTTGGCGCCTGCTCCGCGAACGGCCCAAAAAAGGCCAGGATTTTGTCTCGCTGATGCTGTGACTAGCCTTCCATCTGCCGTCACCATCCGCACCGACTCGAGAGCATCCAACAACAGCCCGCGATGACCCTTGAGAGGTCCGAAACCCGCGCCCATCGTTGCCCCAAGGACACCGACGCATGGGCAAGATGCCAGTGCTACAGAAGCCGACATGGGCGGATTAGTTGAACGTTCCCCCTTGACCAACTGAACAAACGGCAAACCATACTTAATTCCTTTCCTGCATCGTACAACAGGTCGTGTAGTTGTGAATACTCAGTCGCTCCACCGATTGTGAGGTGGTTCGTAGATACGTCCAGCTCCACTGATTTGAAATTGCCCAGGTCGATTGCGATGCCCTTGAAAGGGCTATAGTCTGAAATCCCATGACCACCACCGGTGGTGAGGAAAGGGATTTTGTTGGCATCTGCGATTTTCACCTGCAGTGACTTGTCTCAGTACCTCCACCATCAACTCGACAGCAAGGAGATGCCTACAATACGTTGAACGTCGGTCTCGGTTGCGGGCTTAATGGCGCCCAGATACTTGGGCGCTCGGTAATTGGTCCATCGCAATTGTACCTGCGTGCTCCAGTCGGTGTCTGTAGGGAGGATAATTTGGGCTTCAGGCGACAGACTTGGTCCGAATAATTCTGAGAGGTTTGCTGGCTTGGCTACCGAAAAGGACAGAATCGCCTGGACAAGGGATGCACCGGAGACCATGATTGTCAACGAGCCTCAGGGTTTGGCAAACTCTGGAGAGGTCAAATCGTCAGTACGCGTTGGAGTGTGCTCCCGCGGCGGACGAGACTTTGTATTTGGTGTAGGATCCATTCACACACATGACTATTCTGCTGCTAGTAGTCTTCTGACTGAAACGCGGAAATCATTGTTTTGCATAGCATTAACATTGCTATGATCAATGAATGACCAGCACGGAATATGTCACAGGTGGAGAATGCCACTCTTTGTGCTTGTTCAATTCAATTACTCCGGCAATTACCCCGACCCTAGTAGTCAGCAGCGGCTCACATAGATAGATTCAGGCAAAGATACTTAGTGCTGAGTTACAAAGTACTACGACATCAAACTCCTAGGGATGTACGTCTTATAAAAAGGCATTGTTTTTTTTGGCAAAGGTTGCCCACCAATGGAACTTGCCGAGGTGTTTGTAGTTGGGTGAGTCTCAAAGCAAAATCATCTTATGGTCATGAAGGAGAAGAGTTTCGTTGAGTAGGTACATGCTTATGGGCCGAGCGCTGGGCTTCTCCGATTAGTCAACCGCATGCTTACTGGCAGTCCTATTAGCGGCGACTGCACATAAAATACGTCTAGTTATCTGGTAAGACACTACTGCTTATACAATACTGTTGCAAACCGTGTCCAGTACTTCACACTCGTATATGAGTATGGTGTGTCACTTGACAATTCATACGGTATCTGACCAGAAATTTCAAGGCTGGTGACACTACGAGTATCCCTGATTGGTGGAGGAAACAGATCAACCAATATATTCAACATACTTATTCCACTCTGGGTCAGCATTCAGTGCTTCCAAGTCCGCGTCAGTCAAGCAGGCTGAGGCATCGCAATACGCGCCCGAGTCCCCAGGGAAGAACACCAACAAGCTCGGAAAGGGGACGGTTGGCGGCCGCCTGATAAAGTCCGGCTTGCCCAGCGTGCCAAACCCCGGATACAGGTCGGTACGACCGCGAACAGACGAGCATCCGACGTCCGTATCGGGATTGAACGGCCCGCCGTACGTGATGGTCGACTTGTCGGCTTCTCTGGCGATGAACGTGGCAAAACTGCGGACGTGGTACGCCGAGTTGGTTCCGTTCAGGCGCTTGCGCAGGTGCGAAGCGATGGTGGAAAGGGGTGACTCGGTGAGCTCCTGGAACGACAGCCAGGTCGAGGCGTTGTGTATCACGTCGCCCATGTAATCGGGTGCAACTCCAACAAGCCTCCGGCCATCGATGGCGCGAGAGAATCGGGACTTGGTCTCGGGCGGAAAGCGGTGCGAACGGACCGTGGTGTAACGCTGCCAGCAAAAGGCGCTCAGGGCATCGTCCGTCGAGATGAATGGCACGTCCGGGTCGAGGCCCTCGGGAGAGCTCGCAAGCTCTTTGAGTTTGCCCATCTTCGCGGCCGTGAAGCGAAGGATATGATACCTTGCAGGTTCGGGTCGAACTAGGGGAGCGTCGGCTGCAATGGGAGGGCGTTTGTGGTGGCTGTGATCCAACATAGGCTCGTCCGGGCTAAGCAGAAGGAAAAGGTTCCTTCGATCTCGATTCGCTTGTTCGAGGAGGGAGTCCGGAAACTCCTCCCCACGCATTGCCATGGCCACGAGCTTTACAAATCCAAAATGACCGCCGGCATCACCCATATTGTGCTGAAGTGCAAAATCCAAAATCAAGCCTCCTTCGATGAAGCTAGCCTGGAGCCGGACAACGTGCGCTGGGTCCTCATCTGAGTCCTCAAACATTTGCGGAAAAGCAGAGACTGGAGTCAGCAGTTCAGAGGCTATCACAGATATTGGCGCTTTTCGTTCCTTGATTATGGCGTATGGCGGTAGTGCGTTCGATACCTCTTTGACGTCTATGGGGTTCTCTGGGCGAGGACATGCAATCACTCGGTAAAGGCCAGAATTGCCTGGCTTTTTGCCTACATTAATGACTCGGGACCCCATCCAAGGTACTTTGTCCCTGACTTTTGTGACCGCTTCCTCCAGATCGCGGATGACTTCTTCCCTGGTGACACCCTCGGGCATGGGGAACATGTAAAGGATATGGGAGTAGCATTGTAGCATTGGTAGCTGGCCGAGGATGTCCTGATAGCGATCTAGATCTTCGTACTTCTCCATCTTGATGTTTTCAAGGTCTTTTTCCGGCAACTGTAATGACGATGAGATATGAGCGATCAGCCAGGTAGCGACTAAGCACTTGGTTTTCGATGAGCTTGCAAATATCCCGAAGTGCCAAGAGGTGGCTAATACGTCGGTCAATGTGATGTCAGATGGAAACACGACTCCGCAACACTTTACCACTGTTTTGGTGCGGGACGTTGTTGAAATGAACGGTGAAAATGGAAGAACTTCACGCTAGCAATTAGGATGACTCACATTTCGCCCTGGGTGAAAAAACCGAGTCGTAGAGCTAAGATCGACGACAAAGGGCACCTCGTAAGGTTCGAACGGCGAAGAGCAGCCCTGTCAGTTTTGCCTATAAGCTGAACACTCGGAACTACAGTTTTCATCGAATGATTCGCAAAGAGTAGCGGAGTTTTTTGGTCGGAAGCCGGAGTTTCCTCGTCAGCAGAGCTGTCGGAGTTTTCCGGAGAGATGTTGCTACGTCTCCTATTGTGTCAGCAGGGCAGGGAACAACTTGAGTATAGAGGAGTTCTTGGTAAGGAGGCGATTCAGCAGGTCTCGGAATGACAGATCGAGATCACTGAACACTAGAAGTGGGGACCCTTGGTTTCACGCACGTGTACGTTCGGATAGAAGAATGGGTGTATGCAAAAGGACGTTATACGTTGGAGTCATTCTATAGCTTGTCGACCGTCCCATCGCAATTCTCCAGGAGTGTTTGCATCGATACTGAAGCTGTTGTCCTGCAGTGTGGGTAGCCTGGCGCATTCTAATCTTCGGGCATGGAGATCTTGAATTGAAGCTGTAAATACTGTCTGAAGACGAACTCGAGCTCCTCTCAATCAACAGATCTCGCAGTCGATTAGAATTCACTAGCATCTTTTTTCTGTTATGGTCTCTTAATCAACATGGTTGGCCAAGTCACTCGTCCCTGCGAGGGCAACAGATTATTAGTATTCGGACCGCAAACTCTGTCTCTCGATGCAGCTGCCTTCCATACTCTTCAGACCACGGTAATGCAAATGGGAAGCAATGCATGGGTTCTTGACACCATCGCGGAGCTACCGCATTGTTGGGAAGCATTCGTGGCAGAGTTTCCAAGATACAAGATTATTCAAGGTGCTCAATTGCTCACAAACCTTGGCGAATGGTTCAAGACAGGGAAGCTGGACCACGAGTCTTCGCATCTTCCAAACATCATCCTCAGTCCTCTAGTGATTATAACTCATATCAGCGAATACATGAAATACCTCGATGTCGCCTCGCCAGAGTCTAGGCAGCAATGGGATCATCCCGGGAAATCATCGACAGAAATCTTAGGGTTCTGTATGGGATTCTTGAGCGCACTAGCTGTGTCTATCAGTAAGGATCGCCGACAAATTGAGACATATGGCGCCACGGCAATACGACTGGCAATGCTCATTGGAGGAGTTGTGGATGCACAAGATGAATTGGACAACCAGGGACCATCCAAGTCGTTTACAACGGCGTGGACTTCATCTGAGGCAGCTAAACAAATGAGTCAGATATTGAAGCGCTTTCCTGAGGTAAACCACTAGGCCCTTCATATGTCTGCATGTGAGACTTACGTGGACAGGCATATCTATCCGTCTCATATGACGAACATCGGGCAACTGTGACCACTGCCGAGAGAACGGCTTCCACTTTACAGCAAGAGCTACGCCGTGTGGGTATCATTGCAAATGAGATCAGCCTTTACGGCCGCTTCCATAACGAATGGTATGCAGATGATATCGACCGGCTGATCCAATTCTGCGAGTCTCAGCCTACCCTGCACCTTCCAGATGCATCGGATCTGATATATCCAACCCGTTCAAACTCGGGGAGCGGCTTGATTACAAGTGGCGGGCTCAATGGTCATGCGCTGCGTACCATCCTTGTTCAGCATTCGAACTGGTATCAGACATTCAAGACCCTTTATAATTCCAAGTTGAAGGGTCAAAAAACGATAGTTGTAGCGTTCGGACCGGACCGATGTATTCCCCCATCGATATTGCGTGAACTCGAGTCAATTCGACCGCTTACGAATGCATCTAAGACCCAGCCAGAGACAAGAAAACCCGATGATATTGCGATCGTGGGCATGTCGATCAAGGTCGCTGGTGCGGATGATGTTGCTGAATTCTGGGACTTGCTCTGCGAAGCGAAATCTCAGCACAAGGAAGTGCCTCCGGAGCGCATCAAATTCGAAAACGCCTGGCGGGAACTCGATCCAAATAGGAAGTGGTTTGGAAATTTCATCAACGACCATGATGCTTTTGATCAGAAATTCTTCAAAAAGAACGCCCGGGAGGCTGCTTCCACAGATCCGCAACAACGGCAGATGCTGCAAGTGGCATACCAGGCGTTAGAACAGGCTGGATACTTCAACTCCCCTGACTCAGATAAGAAAATCGGATGCTACGTTGGTGTGTGCGCTGCTGACTATGAGAACAACGTTGCTTGTTATCAACCCAATGCATACACTGCAGTGGGCAACCTCAAGAGTTTCATTGCTGGCAAGATTAGCCATTATTTTGGTTGGACCGGTCAGGGTCTCTGCATTGACACGGCCTGCTCCTCGTCGTTGGTTGCAGTGCATCTGGCATGCAAATCAATCCTTAGCGGAGAGTGCAGTGCCGCGCTCGCTGGTGGAGTGAACGTGATGACCAACCCTTTATGGTTCCAAAATTTGGCCGCGGCGTCCTTCCTGAGTCCGACGGGCCAGTGTAAGCCGTTTGACGCCTCAGCAGACGGTTACTGTCGAGGGGAGGCCATTACTGCCGTGTTCTTGAAAAAGATGTCAGCAGCGATTGCCAATGGCGATCAGATTCTTGGGACTATCTCCGGCACTGCCGTGTACCAGAACCAAAATTGCACCCCAATCTTTGTACCCAATGCCCCATCTCTCTCCGACTTGTTCCGCGATGTTCTCGCTCAGTCAAAACTCGAACCCTCTCAAATTACGGTCGTTGAAGCGCACGGCACAGGGACACAGGTTGGGGATCCGGCGGAATATGACGGTATTTGTCAGGTCTTAGGAGGCCGAGTCCGTTCTAAGCCCATTGCTTTTGGGTCCGTCAAGGGACTTGTTGGGCATACTGAGTGTGCTTCCGGTGCCGTGTCTCTGATCAAGACTTTGCTCATGATCCAACAGAAGGCTATACCCCCACAGCCTAGCTACAACACTCTGAACCCACATATAAACGCCTCTGCTGGGGATAACATCGAGATTGCTACAAAGTTGATAAGTTGGAATGACAACTTCCGAGCGGCGCTGATCAACAATTACGGTGCGTCGGGCTCGAATGCTTCCATGGTGGTGACTCAGGCACCCTCCCTGCCAATCACGAATGCCGTGAACATGTCTATCATGATCGAGTTTCCTTTCAGATTTTACGGGAAGGACGACCGAGCCCTCCGAGAATATAGTGCAAAATTCCGTCCATTCCTCCAGTTAAAGGGTAGTAAGGATTTATCCGTAGCAAACCTGGCGTTCAATGTCTCCCGGCAGTCCAACCCGACGCTCGACCGAGCCTTGCTTCTCAGCTGCCGGTCCACGGATCAGCTAGCACAGAAATTGGCCGCATTTGAGAAGGGAGATATAGACACCGTGTCAGTCGGGCACCCATCTCCTAGACCAGTTATACTCTGCTTCGGGGGCCAAATCTCTACATACGTCGGATTGAGCCGGGAAGTCTACAAGAACGTTATGATCCTTCGCACTCATCTTGACCAGTGTGACGCTGTTTGTCGGTCAACTGGGTGTGAAAGTATCTTTCCTGGCATCTTTGAGAGGATTCCGATCGATGATCCGGTCAAGCTTCAAACAATGCTATTTGCCATGCAATATTCTTGCGCAAAGAGTTGGATTGACTGCGGAGTGCAGCCCGTTGCTGTTGTTGGGCACAGCTTTGGCGAATTAACAGCGCTATGCATTTCCAATGCTCTTTCTCTCGATGATGCTATTAAGATGATTGCTGGCCGTGCAAACCTCATTAAAAACGCTTGGGGTCCTGAAAAAGGTTCAATGGTTGCTACCGACGCTGAGCTGCATGAGATCGAAAAGCTCTTGGCTGAAACGGGTATACCTTGCGAAGAAGCAGGGGAGCGCCCACCCACCATTGCTTGCTTCAACAGTCCCAGGAGTTTCACCATTGCCGGTTCGTCTAAAAGCATTGACATTGTAATTGAGACGATTACAAAGAGTTCTACGTACTCGACGATCAGGTTCAAGAGGCTCAACGTCACCAATGCTTTTCACTCCGCCTTGGTCGAACCCTTGATGTCCAACCTGGAGAAATTTGGACAAGGGTTGACGTTCACTGAGCCCACTGTTCACTGGGAGAGAGCCACTCAATTTCAGTCGAATGATCAGCCGACTTCGAAATATGTGGCGAGCCACATGCGAGATCCTGTTTACTTCAGCCACGCCATTCAGAGACTCTCGAAGAAGTATCCGTCCTGTATCTGGTTAGAAGCTGGATCAAATTCTACCATCACAAACATGGCCAGCCGAGCCCTGCAATCGCCGGAGACGTTCTGCTTCCAACCGATGAATATTGCTAATGATAATGGGTTGCAACAGCTGATCAACGCGTCTGTCGGTCTTTGGAAAGAAGGCTTGAATTTCACTTTCTGGACCCATCACCGGTTGCAGACTTACGAATACACGCCTTTGCTTCTGCCATCTTATCAGTTCGAAAAGACTCGGCATTGGATGGAACCCAAGGCTCCACCTAAGTCTGAGGAACCTGTCAGTGAACAGATACCGGAAGAACCAAAGGGTCTCTGGAGCTTCGTTGGATACCAAGATGATGGAAAGCAATTCGCTCGGTTCCGCATAAACACGGTGACTCCTAGGTACCAGGAGTTCGTGTCGGGCCATGTCATTGCACAGACCGCGCCGATCTGCCCGGCCACACTTGAAGTTGACATCGCGGTTGAGGCACTCATCAGTCTGTGTCCAGACTTTACAACCTCAAGGTTGCAGCCAAAGATTTATAATGTGGACAATCAGGCTCCTATCTGCATCGATCCGTCGCGATCCGTTTGGCTTGATGCTCAAGCAAATGATGCCAGCCATTGCAATTGGGAATGGAAAATTGTCAGTGACAGCTTGCAGAATGCATCGTTGACTGTGCACGTCACGGGCAGAATTGTTTTTGTCTCCGTCGATGATGCGGAATGGCGACTCGAATTCTCCAGATATGAACGCCTGATCGGGTATCACCGCTGTTCGAATCTTCTTCACAGCGACGATGCGGACGATATCATTCAGGGTCGTAATATTTACAGGGCGTTTGGCGAAGTTGTTGACTACGCAGAGCCGTATCGCGGTCTGCAGAAGCTTGTGGGCAAGGGTAACGAGTCCGCTGGGCGTATTACTAAGAAGTACAGCGGCGCGACTTGGCTAGACACACACCTTTCCGACTGCTTCGGTCAGGTTGGCGGAATCTGGGTCAACTGCATGACCGACAAAGCTCAGGGTGACATGTATATTGCGACTGGGTTCGAGAAATGGATGCGCTCCCCAGACGTCGGTGCCGATTACAGTCGCCCAGATGTATGGGATGTGCTTGGTAATCATCATCGTGCCTCTGATCAGTTGTTTCTGACTGATATATTTATCTTCGACTCGACAAACAGCAAGTTAATGGAGGTCATTCTAGGCATCAACTACCACAAAGTGCCGAAAGCATCCATGTGCAAGATTCTCTCCAGACTCACTGTCTCTGAGCAGTCAGAAAAGACGGCGTCCGTCAAAGCTGAGCCGGTACTGCCTATGGCAAATGATGCCGTAACTCCACAGAAACCAAAGTTGGATGAGACAGCCAAGCCAAAGAAGAAGGCCTCCGGTGGCCCCGACGTTGTCATGAAAACCAGGGCTCTCCTCGCAGAGATCTCTGGGCTCGAACCGGATGCGATCCAACCTGATGCTCAGCTTGCCGACATTGGCATTGATTCCCTCATGGGAATGGAATTGGCGCGCGAGCTTGACGGAATGTTCAAATGTTCTCTGCCAAACGAGGAGTTGGTCAACGTGGCTGACTTCAGCGGGCTGGTCCGACTTATTCAAGACACCCTGGGTCTGGCAGCTGATAGAGATGGTGCTGACCTAACTGAAGGGGGAAATCCATCCGAGAGCAGTCAAAGCGATGCCAGTTCCATACTCACTCCTTCTCACACCGTCTTGACGTCGGTTTCGGACGCAGAAGACAATACGATGAGTGACGAAAATTACAATACTACCAAGGGACATCTGACTGGCTCAATCTCTCCTGGACCCGGTGACAACCTTGAACTACCTTCTTCCATGATTATTGAAGCATTCGAAGAATCCAAGAGGCTTACGGATCAGTTCATTGCCGACTACCGATGTGCAGGGTACATAGATACGGTCTTACCGAAGCAGACGCAACTCTGTGTTGCGCTGACTGTCGAAGCATTCGAGCAGCTGGGTTGTCCCCTCCGCGCGTCTAAAGCAGGGCAGAGATTGGAACGGATTGAATATGTTCCCCAGCACCAGCGGCTGGCGGAGTATCTTTACAAGATGTTGGAACAAGAAGCACGACTGATTGATATGGACGGTTCGCAAATCACACGCACTGCCATCACAGCTCCTTCTAAGACCAGCGAGGTGATTCTGGCCAACCTCCTGCATGACTATCCCGACCATGAATGGGCAAATCGACTCGTCCACTTTGCTGCTAGCAGGTTGGCGGATGTATTGACCGGGAAATGTGACGGGATCAAACTGCTATTTGGTACCGATGAAGGAAGGGAGTTGGTTACCGGGCTGTACGGTGATTCGCTTCTGAACAAGTTGGCCAACGCGCAGATGCAGGACATTATTACCCGACTTGCGTCTAGGATCCCGAAAGATAAGGGCCCCTTGAAGATCTTAGAGTTGGGAGCTGGCACTGGGGGAACGACCAAAGGGATGGCTGCATTGCTTGCCCAGCGGAATATCCCGGTTGAGTATACATTCAGCGACCTCTCCGGATCCTTTGTGGCGGCTGCCCGGAGAAACTTCAAGGCCTATCCCTTCATGAAGTTCCGCGTTCATGATATTGAGAAGCCTCCAGCCAACGACCTCCTCGGCACTCAACACATCATCATAGCCAGCAATGCCATCCACGCTACGCATAGCTTGACGGAGTCCACCAGAAACATCCGCAAGGCTCTGCGTCCGGATGGATTCCTTATGATGCTGGAAATGACCGAGCCGGTGTACTGGGTGGATCTCATTTTCGGTCTATTTGAGGGTTGGTGGCTCTTCGAAGATGGACGGCAACATGCAATTGCACATCAGTCAGTCTGGGAGCGGGACATGCAGTCCGTGGGGTACGGTCATGTCGACTGGACCGATGGTCATAGCCCTGAGATCAAAATACAACGGATCATTGTGGCCTTGGCTTCTGGACCTCAATATAGCCGTCAGCCCCCTGTCCGGTTACCGGCAAAGAGTGAACCTGTTCCCACTGCAGCCCGCAAAGCGGCCGTTGACGATTATGTCCGGAAGTACACCCATGGCTTTGCTGCCCCTGTTCCTTCCAGCTCGACTAGCCCTCCGAGTGTCTATGAACAGTCCGTGCTAATAACCGGAGCATCGGGAAGCTTGGGGACTCACCTAGTTGCTCACACTGCTACTCTTCCTCATGTCAAATCGGTGATTTGCCTCAACCGACGAAGCACAACGAAACCAGATGTTCGTCAACATCGGGCTATGGAGGAGAAAGGTATACTCTTCGACGCGGCATGCCAGTCGAAGCTGCAGGTGTTGCAGACTGACACCAGCAGACCGATGCTAGGACTGGCTAGGAGCGAGTATGACAGTCTCCTCAATACCGTCACTCACATCATACATAATGCATGGCCAATGACTGGGAAACGTCCTCTGTCGGGAATGGAGTCACAATTTCAAGTCATGCGTAACCTCATCGACTTTTCACGAGATATCTCGTCCCGGCGTCCGAAAGGGTTCACGCTCAGCTTCCAATTCATCTCTTCCATTGCCGTTGTTGGGCACTATCCTCTCTGGAGCGGCAACGCGGTAGTTCCCGAGGAGAGAGTAACTATCGAGTCTGTCCTTCCCAACGGTTATGGAGATGCCAAATTCATCTGCGAAAGAATGCTCGATGAGACTCTGCACAAATGTCCAGACCTATTCCGCACTATGGCTGTACGCCTCGGACAGATCGCCGGCTCGAAGACCAGTGGGTACTGGAACCCAATGGAGCATCTCTCGTTCTTGATGAAGTCATCGCAGACGTTGAAAGTGCTGCCAGATTTTGATGGCGATCTCTGCTGGACTCCGGTCGATGATGTTGCAGGTACATTGAGTGACCTGCTCCTTTCCGAGCGCACTCCGTATCCAATCTACCATATCGATAACCCGGTGCGTCAGCCCTGGCGCGAGATGATCCCGGTCTTATCAGACGCGCTCAACATCTCGTCGACCAACGTGATCCCCTTTAAGCAGTGGGTCAGACGCGTGCGCTCCTTCCCCGGCGCGATCGAAAAGGATAATCCTGCGGGCATGCTCATCGACTTCTTGGATGACAACTTCCTTCGCATGTCTTGCGGGGGCCTTTTCTTGAGCACAGCCAAGACTCGCGAGCATTCCTCAACCCTGGCGGCTGTAGGACCGGTGAGTGCAGAAGTGGCGAGGAAGTACATCCAGGCATGGAAGGACATGGGTTTCTTGCACGTTTAATTAAGTTGCTTATACGATTCGTGTTGTTTTGTAGATCATGCACGTTTGTTAAATTATCTTTGATGATGATTCTAGACACGTATTAGAGCCGCGTTTAGCGCCATTTAGCGTATCCAAGATCAATGGCAAGGCTTGGCACTGAGATTTTCTCCCCCCTCTCCTAATCCACACTAATCTTACAGAGGTCTGCACCGAAAGTCCTGCACCCGCCAAGACTCTTGCGCTCAGACTTCGGATAACGCCCCACCTAAAGGGTTACCTGGACAATGCGTCTGGAGTTCTTCGGAATCGCACCTAGCCCTAGCCAGGTTTCGGGGCTTAATGCCCCTATCAAGCCAAGAGAAGTACCTAAAGTCCCATCCATGCGCTGTGAGAAGATATTTCTAGGCTTCCCCTCTACAGGGCCGCTTTCCGAAAGTAGGGTTAGGGCTTCACTAGTGCGGGTGCAGGACTTTCGGTGCAGACCTCTGTATCAACTTCACAACTAGTTTGTATTATAGAAACTTCTACGCACAAATCAGACCCATCATCTCTGCAAGTTCAACGCTGCTAGAATATCGGAAGTAAATACGAACATGACTAACTTATAGACTCACGAATATATTAGCATTTTGTCTGAGGCGGATCATGTCGCTTTACTAAGGGTAACTTCTCTTATTTCTCAACTTCTCGATCCCACTTAAGTAGTAATTCTCAATTGAACTTCTGTGTATGAAACTTCTACTAGATACTCTCACAATCTCAGCGCTGCTGAAACTCGGACAGTCCGACTTATGATTGTAAAGTTGATGATTTGAATCTGTAGGGGCGGAAAAGTATTCCAATGCCAAGAGGTGGAAGCGGGTTTGGAATACGCTATTTAGCGCCTTGGCACCGGCCTATATGTACCTACTGCCACCTGTACATACTTCCTTCCTTAGTATTGTTTCCTTCGTCCCCATGACACCATGATCCTGGTACGTCCCTGACCTCGCCTCCAAATCCATCAGCGTCTCGGCATCATCGCCGCGGCCTTGATTCCATAGCCTTGCATGAGGGGCGGCAGGAAGCCTGCAGATACCCGGGGCCCTGCGGAGATTACCACAAAAGCAGCACGTCATCATTGGCGAAACAATGCCTTGATTCAATTGACGCAGGCATCGGGAAAGAGTACGTTGACTTGTCCATCAACGGTGTTGGCCGGCCCTTGAGGGAATTCGGTGTATGAACGGCCAAAGAAAGTCCGCCAGTGGTTTAGGTCAACAGGAGAAACTCCGAATTGAAAGTTCACCCAAACACCCGTTGAAAAGTCTTTTTTGCACGCAGTCTCGGCTTCAATTCCCTGCGCGAACAATCTTCCTGCATGGAATTATGCTATCGCCGTATAGTACGGAGATAGACACCAAAAGTCCTGGTGACTCACCATAAGCAGGTGCTATTGCCTGGGCGCAGAGGCGGCCACTGAACTGATGCTTGGGAGTAGGTATCAATGCCTCTAAACCCCTATTAGGGGCGTACAGCCAATTGTAACGCTAATGTTCCGGCTACTCAGCACCATCAGCATTCATAGAGTCCCTCTTCGTACCATATGCACTAGTGTTTTGTACGATATACTTAGGTCAGGATTCCTGCCGTTCACAGGATTATTCGTTCCGAGTCACGATCAATGTGATCTAACTAGCGCCATGGGGATCGGACAATCTGCAGTCCAATCTAAAAGGATGTCACAACAATTATTTCTATGTTCTCTACCAATTATATAACCAATATCATGTGGTGTGCTCCTTCTCTTTTAAAGCCGTCGTACAATCTGTCTCACTCTTTCATGATAGGTAAAGTCTTCTCAAGAAATGCATTCGGAATCAGAAAGCCCAATGTTGATCCCTGAAAAGTGTACCGTCCTGGTGGTGGGTGGTGGTCCAGGAGGATCGTATACGGCTGCGGTGCTCGCTCGCGAAGGTATCGATACTGTGCTGCTGGAGGCGGACAAGTTCCCTAGGTGCGATATGCTATACCTCCCTAACTTCCAGCTGTTGTCATTATATCTTTTTCCTTTGGTTGTCGGCAATTCGGCCTTCTCGACATGATCCGGGCCAGAAACGACAGCCATGTATACGTCGGCTAGAGCTCGATTCTCTCATACTCGTCATGATTAGAACTACAGATCTCTGAACAATAAAATAACGAACTGACATCAACTAGGTATCATGTTGGCGAAAGCATGCTGCCTTCGCTCCGCCACTATCTTAGATTCGTCGACTTGGATTCTGCATTTGACAAACACGGGTTCAACAAAAAGGTCAGTTGTTGCAAGTCCATTGTCACCTGGGCTGCAATACCGAGGATAGTAATCTTGATCCGTCCTTTCGAGCCTCCACCACTTCCGTCAAAGCTTTCCGAGGCTGACACGCGTCACTAAGAATGGCGCGGCCTTCAAAATGAGTCCAACCAACCGTGAGGGATGTAAGTACACCGCCACTGCCGGTTAAGGTGAGAATGTGGGGTTTTAACGATCATGAATAGTTACAGACTTCCTCGCAGCCGGTGGCCCAGGGAACTATTCATGGAACGTGATCCGTTCCGAGGCAGACGAGATGATATTTCGGCATGCCGGGGCGAGTGGAGCGAAGACATTCGATGGTGTCAAGGTCAAATCAATTGACTTTGATTCCTCGAATGGTACAACGAATGGTACCACAAATGGTACTGCCAACGGCGATGCCCATTCCGCTTCACAAAACCCAGGTCGTCCGATCTCGGCAACTTACACCAAGAAAGCCGATAACACGAGCGGGGTGATCAAGTTTGATTATATTGTGGATGCGAGCGGACGCGTTGGTCTGCTGAATACCAAATATCTGAAGAACCGCCACTATAATACAACGCTCAAGAATGTTGCGAACTGGGCGTACTTCGAAGACGCAGGGCTATATGGAGGAGGAACAGCGCGGTCAGGTGCACCATTCTTTGAGGCACTGCGAGGTATGTTCGCCCCTTGTTACGCCTTTCCACTTCCGCCGCTAAAGATATACCCTGATAGACGAGAGTGGCTGGGCCTGGTTTATTCCTCTGCACGACGGTACCCATTCTATCGGGGTTGTCATGAACCAGGACATCGCTACGGAGAGGAAGGCCACGGCGGCGTCCGCCCAGGAATACTTCGATACTGCTCTGAAACAAGCCCCGATGCTTTCGGAGCTTCTCGGGGCAGGCAAGCAAGTGTCCGAACTCAAAGCCGCTTCGGATTACTCGTACCACTCGAGCTCATATGCATTCCCGTACGCGCGCATTGTTGGCGATTCAGGGTGCTTCATTGACCCTTTCTTTTCTTCCGGTGTCCATCTCGCATTAACGGGTGGCCTGTCAGCTGGGACAACGATCGCTGCCAGCATCAGAGGTCACTGCGATGAGGCCGCGGCAGCACAGTGGCATTCGAAAAAGATCCGAGAGGGCTACGCGCGGTTCTTGCTCGTCGTGTTGAGCGCATATAAGCAGATGCGGAACCAAAAGGAGGCTGTGTTGAGTGACTTCAATGAAGACAATTTCGACCGAGCATTTAGTTTCTTCAAGCCTAGTGCGTTCTCCTCCTACCGTCTCACCGCTGCGAGTTTGATTCGAGGGTTTGATCTAAACGTTTTATTATAGTTATCCAAGGAACGGCTGATGCAACCAACAAGCTCACACAAGCCGAGTTCTCGAAGACGATCGACTTCTTGACAAAGGCTTTCTCCCCAGCTTTCAGAAACAATCTTGACAATACAGGCGACGGCCCAGCTCCAGATGGTGCCGAGGCAGCCAAGCCCCCACCAATGGACGATGGAATATCTCCAGAGGACCGAGAGGTCCTGCAGGCGCTTCGCACTCATCACGGTCAGAACACGTTGAATCTAGACAGTTTCACCACCGATGTCATCGACGGACGTGTACCGAAATTGGAGAAAGGGGAGTTGACGCTGGTCTCTGTCGAGGCCTAGTAAGGTAAATACGATCTCTGACGGAGAACTCTTTTCTCGAAATCGTAGAACGTGCTGACGACAGGGGTAGATGAGGATTCCTTCTTCATGCACGCATGACTCAGTGGACAGGGAGGCTTGAGAGTTTTGATTCAGCGTCCAGGACATCGAAGAGCTAGCCTGATCCGGCGTCATTCTTTTGCAATTCCTTGGATCGGATTCTGTCATTAAACCTACATCTACGAATCACATTTCTTGAGTTGGAAGTATCATGTTGTTGCTGGAGTAGTAAAATCGCATCAGTGCCCAATTGATTTTTTCTACGGAGCAGCATCCTCTAGACTTGACCTTCGTTGGTGATGCTCATGAGCACGTACACTCTACATATAGAAACATTATACAACCCTGGTGATTCTGTGGTTATAGCAAAGAGCGTTGGAAATCATGGAGTTGGTGATCTTGCGTGTGCACCACGCAATCTCCTAAGACATTGAAGAGATGGCTTTGAGTGGGTGGCATTGGGGAATATTTGACGTATAACCCTTAAGCTTTCCCATATTATAATCTTGATTGATCGCTCATGTGATAAAGTGTGTAGTCACTATGAGGTTCTTTAAGTGATTGGGCAGAGACCATCGGGTTTGAATCTGTTCTCAAGTCCGAGTCATTCCGACGAACCAAGTTGATGAACAAAGTTTATTGTTATAGATTTGAAGATAGACCTTCTCTACAACTGGGGCCCTCTTGAGATGAACTATATCTATTCCACTTGAGAGACTCCCCGATCTTGGAGCATCACAAGAGCCACAACGACCGACTAGCACCATCGTGAATCGAGCAAAAGCATCCCTTGGCAGGTCATCCCACTTCGACCAGACATCGGTGACCTTTGGGCATCAGCAAGAAGGAGATGTTCTCCTCCATGTCGGAATCCGACATGCCGTCTTTGGTCGAGATTCTCGCGTTCGGGAAAGTTCGGAAGAACAGAGCGGCAGCGAGGCGCAGCTCCATGCGAGCGAGATGGATGCCAATGCAGCCTGTGCACACCGCTTTAACTCATGGAAAGAATGGGGGAATAAGGGATTCTTACCGCGAGGCCCCGTCCCGAAGGCCATGAATGCATCTTTCATTTTCTTGGAGGGATTCTCCCAACGGGAGGGATCGAAGCTGCCAACCGTCAGCGCCATTGTGCACTCGTGATGAAGGGAATGACTTACCCTTCCGGGTTGGGGAATGCCTCTGGATCCCGATGTACACTGTATGCCTGAGTGGACACGATCGTTCCACTGCGGAGGTGTTGTCCGGCCAACGTAGCTCCTTCCGACGGCACAACTCGCGGGAGGCAGCCGGGAGCGGCGCCGTAGCGCCGTAAAGCCTCCTCGACAACACAATTTAGATAGGGGAGATCACGGACATCCCGGTGGGTTAGATCATCGGGCACCGACTGCAGTTCGCGGACGAGAGTGTCTTGAATCTTCTTGTCTTGACAGACGGCGTACACCAGGTAGGTAAGCGTCACTCCGGTCGTATCAGTGCCTGCCGTAATATACGATTGAGCTTCAACGGTCAGATCGAATTCCGTCAGACCCGAAGAGGCATCCTTGAGTAGGCTTGTGAAAAGAGTATTTTTGGTGATGTCAGGATTGGTTCCCACCAATTGCATGTATCGCGCCACACGTTCTTTATTGTATGCGAAAATGCGTTGCCTCGCATGAGCGACATCTTTAAAGAACGGCAAAGGCAAATATCCCGCAATCCATATCAGTGTGGGGAATGCCGTTCGAAGCGGAAAGAGGGATCCAGCGTTAGCGATGTCCGTGGCGTACTGATTCTTCTAAACATGTCAATTAGCAAAGCCGAGTAGTACGTGAAAGAGGGCAGCTGCTTGCCTTTCCGTATTCCAACAAGTGGAATGAATCTCCGAAACTCAGCTCGCCAATGATATCCATTGCCAACAGCGTCCACCACTTGAGGACATCAGCACTGCCGGTGGTTTTCGACTCGTCTCCTAGTTTGCGCACGGCCAGCCGCACTCGCTCGAGGATGACCGGCTCCAGGCTACTCAGAGAGGCCTCGGTGAAACAGGGCCCCAAGAGACGTCGACGATTGGAGTGGAAAGTGGGATCGGTTGTCGAGAAGAGGCTCTGGACTTTCCCGGCAGTAGTATAGAAGCTGGATTTCAAGAAACCCCCTCTCGCCCGGTGAATCTCTCGAGCGGCATCGCGATCACTAACGTCGACTTCATTTGGAGCTATGCGGACCACAGGTCCTGCAGACAAATACCCTTAGCATGATCCTGATGTTTGCAACTTACGGTGGAAAGGGCAATACGGACCATATTTCTGGTGGAGTGAGTGGACATACTGGGCCCGTTTCCCCGAGAGCAAGATGAACCTCAGATGCAGGTCCGTCAACCTTGAGATCTCAGGACCGGGGATAGATGACAATGGATTTGTGATAGCCGCATAAAGAGCTCGCTACACACTTTGATGTCATTCCTCGTGGAGACAGAATGGAATCAGACCAGACTTACTAGGACGTAAAAGGCGGCTATGCTGGATATCAGAATAGGTACGGAGAGGTATGCCGGTACAAAGCTCGAGAAGTCATCTAGCAAACCCATTTTTAATGTCTCCCTATTGACCTGTAACTGCAACTGAGCAATGTCGAAGCAAATATTTCGATACTACTGACTGATGCCAGAGACCAAGCAAGCTGCCAACCATCTTTCCATGAACAGGAACTTGAAATCCTAATGAGGGTGAGTGTCAGCTTGCTCCTCAGCAGAATTCCAGCATGTAACGGTAGTATGCATCGAAACATGTAAGGCATTTTTGATACCATGGAGCGTAAGATTGGCCGGAGTTCAAGGGTTTGCATTCGGAGTTTCGGGGTCGGAATTCTTCACCGGAAATATGGTAGTAATCCATGATCCCCCTAACATTTGTCCTCTTTACAACATTTCTAAGAGTATGACATTTGATCTCACGAGGCCGGAAATCCTACGGATGTCCGGAGCTATTGATGAACAGACAACCAATCTCTTCCTGTTCTTACCCTGACCAATCACCTAATTGTCACCTCCATGTTGGAACTCGATGTTGCAATCCTGACACGGTTGTTGCCGGCTCGCTTCGCATTCTCTCATGGTTCGGAGGGAGTGCGTAGAAGCTACCATAGAGGCTGGTGGAGATCCCAGTAAACGAGTTTACAATTGGATGACAGATGACTCGGTTCTGATGATATAAGGATCTTTTCCCTCTTAGGAACTGCAGAGTTATCTCGGCTCATTTGGCTGATGAGGTGAGATACAGTCATCAGGATATAAGCAGGAGAAGCCTACTCCCAGACCTCCTCATTATCTTCGAGATTCTTTCGTGTGGAACTTCCTATGATGCTCTCACCACTCCCCAGTCAGTTACTTCGATAGAGTAGTTGGCGCTTATAGACGGTCATACAAGGCTTTTGGATTCCTCTTGGCGCCAGCGAGGCCCGAACAACAAATGGATATATACAACAGAAGCTCGAAAGCAATCTTACACACCAGAACCCTGTTTCATGATGGACATTGCGATCTGCAACTTCCACGGATCCTCTGCCTCCATGGAGGCGGCACCAACGCGCGGATCTTCCGAGCCCAATGTCGTGGTATCTCCGCACAGCTCAAGGGTAAATTCAGACTATGTTTTGCCCAGGCCCCCCTCCCGTCTCAGGCTGGTCCTGATGTCCTATCTGTCTATAAAGATTGGGGTCCCTTCCTATCCTGGATTCCCTCTGCATTGGGCTGTCCAAAGGTGAACAGCCAGGTCGCGATCTCCATGATTGAGGATGCGATGGAGAGTGCGATGGAGAGAGACAACGAGGAAGGCGCAACGGGGCCGTGGGTGGGCTTGTTGGGTTTCAGTCAGGGCGCCAAGCTATGCGCAAGTGTGCTCCTTCTCCAGCAGATACAGGGAATATATAAGTCGCGGTTCAACTTCCGCTTTGGTGTCCTGCTGGCTGGGCGAGCACCGCTTCTCGCACTCCAACCAGGTATCCCGACTGGGGGGGAGACGGTCGTTGGGGTGAATGGAGAGGAGAGTGTTGACAAGGGTAAGCCGATTCGACTACGTCTACCAACCGTACATGTCCATGGTATGCGAGATTCCGGACTACATCTCCACAGACAGTTGCTAGAGAATTGTTGTGAGGTCGGAAGTACGAGACTACTCGAGTGGGATGGTGATCATAGAGTACCCCTTAAAACGAAAGATGTGGTCGCACTCGTCAAACAGATAGTGGCTGTGGCGAGCGAGACTGGTGTTCAATTTAATGAATAGAGAGATGCATTCCTTGTTGTGTCTTCTATCTGATCTGGGAACGGTTCAATTCTCCTAGCTATACAATTATTGCATGTTCAATATACTAGCAGCCGTGAACTTATCATGTGCAGATGGCAGGGAGGAGTCCAACGAGATGTCAGAATTAGATTTTGTGCACTTCAGAGGAACGTTCGAGTTGTCCACCCCGGTATTCAAGAATTTAAATAACTACGGGCGTCGGTCAAAGGAATGTTGCTGGTACTGTACGACATCTAAACCGTAATGTAAAGGTCAGTCTTGTCATCCAATGATAGTTAGAGAGACTAAGAATCAACGGATCATCACTCAAACTCCGTAACATTAGTAAGAGACGACAACTCCTTCCAGGTTCCATTACGACTGGCGTTCATAGTCCCTTTTGCCACAGACTTCGGAAGGAGAAACTCCGTGATTTTGTCACCGAACAAAAGTGGTAACAATATGTTTTTATGCTAGATCTAGGTGGTCTTACTTTTACTCTTGCCGGCGTAAAGTACCGTGTGTGATTATGTTTTACCGACCAGACGGGTTCACAAATTGGACCGACTGCCGATGGCCCAATCCTAGGGTTGTGTGATTACTAGTCTACTGCCATCTTAACATATGTGTAGACTGCATCGATGGTAAGCAGAGGATTGGACATACGATCTTCCGCCCATACTCATCCTCTTGACCCCATCTCGCTTATTTGGAGACCCGGCCGTTGTATCTATGCAGAGACAGAGCCACATCAATCTATTTTCACATCAATCAGAGTTCGTGTCGTCTCTGAGGAACGAAATTATCAACATCAGCGCATCATCTTCTATCCTCAAGAACGAAGCACCAAATCGAGAAGTTTCTGCAACAAATTAGTCTTATTGATTCAACCATTCACCCCCATGTCGAAAGTCCTTTTGACTGGCAAGTTCTTGCTTGTTCCTTTCTAATCTTCGGCCCTCGCCCCTTCCCCGCCCACTCCTCTCCTCATCAATAACTCGTTGAGTTTCCTAACCAACATACCTTCTATGTGCATAGGAGGTAGTGGCTTCATCGCAAGCCACATCCTGAACACATTGCTGGAACATGGGCAAGTCACATACCACGCACTAAATATACAACCAGTTCCTGATCCTAACGTGAACTTCAGCTTCGGGGTAGTCTTCACCGTCCGATCTGAATCTAAGGGCCGTAGAATCATCGATGTTTACCCGGACACCCCGTCAGAGAAGCTGTCTTTCGTCGTAGTGGAGGATATTGCGGAAGAGGGGGCCTTTGATGAGGTCAGCCCGGTTCCACTAGCAAGCAGACATGGCTAACAGTTGAGCGACTTTTTGAAGGCCGTGAAATCCGACCCTCCCTTCAACTTCGTCATCCACACCGCTTCCCCTTACCATTTCAACATTCAAGATTCCGTCAAGGATTTCCTGGAGCCCGCCATTAACGGCACGACGGGTATCATCAAAGCTGTCATGGCTTATGCACCGACTGTCAAGCGTGTGGTCCTCACCTCGTCATTTGCCACCATCGTCAATCCGTGGAACCATGCCAAGGTGTACGACGAGACCATGTGGGGCCCGGTGACGCGGGAGCAGGCGATGGACCCGACAGGAGCGTATCGTGGGAGTAAGGTTGGTACTGTTCACCATGAGAATCGATTCCATGACATGCTTTACTATCAGAGGAACAGATCTTGGCCGAAAAGACCGCGTGGGAACTCATCGAAACACAAAAACCGCAGTTTGATTTGGTAACGATCCACCCCCCAATGGTCTACGGCCCTGTACCCAGCTTCCTTAATGGCCTCGACTCGCTCAATACTTCCAACCATCGAATCCGGGCGATGATCCAGGGCGAGACCAAAAACACCGGTTTGCCGCCTACGGCGGTCTATCTGTTCACGGATGTGCGAGATGTAGCTTTAGCGCATGTGCGTGCGCTGGAGGTCCCACAGGCTGGCGGTCAGCGGTACTTCGTTGTGGGGGGCCATTACTCGAACAAGATGATTGCGGATACCATTCGACGATCGTATCCACAGCTTGCAGAGAGGTTGCCGGCGGTCGAGGATACGGAGGATGACACCCCGCCGAATGTTTATGGGTATGACAATCGTAAGTCGCGAGAGGTACTCGGGTTGACGTATGGGTCGATCGAGGAGTGCGTGAAGGATACGGTGGCATCGATGTTGGCCTTGGAAGCTGGTCAGGGTTCGACGAGCAATTGATGTAGCTCCAACTGTGTTTTTTACACTACCTTGTTGTCGTTACGGCTGGCTGTGTAGAAAACTTAATTGGCACTTAAGGAAGCAAACTATTTTCTTTGTTTCACGTCACTCATCATCCAATCATGCTGACCCTGTATCAGAAAGACCTAAAGAATTATTAGTAATAATTGCTTTGGATAGCCTATCTCGGCTGGGAGTTACTGGTTCAAATAGACATCTTGATGTTAATATCAACATTAATATTATCAATAAAGCAGACATTCCATGAACACATCATACAGCATCGAGTCACTAATCGTAGACAGAACCACCAGCCGCAAAGCTGGAAGAGTGGGACATGCGTACCCCTGAATTGTGGATTATTGGGATGGCCATACTAGTTGCTTGTCGGCGGCGAGACAGTCTTGCTTATCATTAGAGTACGTGTCTGACGGGATGCTAAGGTACCCAATAGATACTTAGCGGTTGTAAATGTAAGGTAATTCGCAAGCTTGACGTCTTTGCTTGTTCTCCCAATCCACTGAGCCACCTACAGCAGCAATGGTATACAGCCTTATCTTTGGAAACGGATTGTAGATTTACTTCATGCGATTCTAGTGATGTCTTCTCGGTTGAGATTTCATTTGCTACATTAGAAGTCGTCTCAAGAGGCCGGTAATTGATCTACTCACGCTAAGATACTAAGTACACGCTAAGAAAACTAGCGCAAAAATCTTCTTGGCATATTTTTTCTAATGTTACTTTACTCATTTCGCCTTTTTTTTATTGTAATCTTACAATCAGAATGATTCCTTCCTGACTCGCTCGGCATTAAACAAGAACAGCGCATCATCATTGCCGTCTCTGACCACCGACCCCGAAATGAGTTTCTCCGAGACTCATGTTAAGGCGCCCTCTTTGAACCCGAAAGATAAGCATAAGCTGCAGAGTGGCGATACACCGCGCGGGCTCAATGGGGTCAACCGCTGTTTCACAGAATTCCGCAGTAGAAACGCCGCGGCTGCCGTCAACCATCATCCTCTTCCCAAGCAGAATGAGCAATTGTCATCATCCGAGATGAATTGATTGGTGATTTCTCCATACCTTCATACGCTCGTGACATCACATACGAGTTGCCAAGATGCTTACGCGAGTTTTTATTTTTGTCGCCTTTCAAATTTCATGACTGACTGCCCGACTGACTGAATGACCAATTAATTGACTGGCTCTGGAGTTTCAATAGTTACCATACGTACTGTGTTGGGATGCCATCCCTCTTGGGCATATACGGCAGTCGTGAAATTTTTGGTTTGCTTCCCTCTCAACTCTCATTCGCTTCTGTTTATCGTCTACTTTCATACCCTCCACGGAAGAAATCAATGAGCGTATGTAACGATTGTTGACAACGTTGAGAATGCAAGACGAGCCCCTAGACGTCGCCATCGTCGGCGGCGGCATCGCCGGCCTGACGCTAGCCCGGGGTCTGCTCACCCGTAACGTCACCGTCCGAGTCTACGAGCGCGCACACAGTCTCCGTGAGATCGGCGCGGGCATCGGCTTCACGCCAAACGCTGAGCGGGCGATGAAGGCCGTCGATCCGCTCATCCACGCCGCGTTCAAAAAGGTCGCAACCCGTAACACGTCGGACTGGTTCCAATGGGTAGATGGATACCACGAGGCAGGGGGCGATCCTCGCCAGACCGAGGAAAAGTTGCTCTTCAAGCTGTATCTTGGCGAGAGGGGGTTTGAAGGCTGTGCTCGCGCTGACTTTCTCGATGAACTGGTCAAATCGATCCCCGCTGCTACGGTCGAGTTTCAGAAGTCGCTGGATAAAATTGTCGACTGGGGTGACGGGGAAAAGTTGCTTCTGACATTCCACGATGGGACGGAGGCGCAGGCGGATGCAGGTGCTATACATAGTTTATTGACCTTGTGCAAAGCAGGGACTGACTATCGATTATAGTGATCGGCTGCGATGGCATCCGCTCTCGAGTCCGCCAGCTGGTACTGGGCGAAGAAAATCCAGCCTCATATCCTCATTACAGCCATAAATACGCCGCCCGCGGCCTGATTCCTATGGACAAAGCCAAAGCGGCGCTGGGAGACTACAAGTCCTCGACGCGATTCATGCATCTCGGTCCGGACGCCCACGCTCTGACGTTTCCCGTGGCGATGGGCTCTCTTCTAAACGTTGTCGCCTTTGTCAGTGATCCAGAAGAGTGGCCCTATTCGGACAGGATGACTGCCAGCGCAACCAAAACGGAAGTCGCCGCGGCGTTTAACACATTTGGGCCTACGGTCCGGACGATCATCGACCTTCTTCCCGATCAGATCGACAAGTGGGCCGTCTTCGATACCTACGATCATCCTGTGACGACATTTGCGTACGACCGAATATGCCTCTCGGGCGACGCCGCGCACGCTGCGGCGCCACATCATGGCGCTGGCGCGGGCTTCTGCATTGAGGACGCTGCCGTTTTATGTAGTTTGATGGTGACTGCCTCGTCGACGATTCGCGAGTCGAGAAGCAGCAAGGCCGAGATTATCCGTGCTGCCTTCGCCACCTACGATGCCGTTCGCCGTGAGCGCGCACAGTGGCTCGTGGACAGCAGCCGCCGCATCGGGGAGCTGTATGAATGGCAGGATCCGCAGGCTGGCCGCGATACCGACAAGTGTCGCCATGAGGCCGATTGGCGCGCGCATACCATCTGGGATTATGACATCGACGCGATGTTAAATGGGACGAGCGAGGAGTATTCGCGGAGACTGAAGGCGTTGGTCAAGAATTGAGTTCGTATTGTTACCTGTACCTAGATGCAGGCATGTGAGGAAAAGACTACCATCCAGTCTGGTCCAGCAAGTCCATAGAAGTAGTATGAGTGCGAACTTGACAAGTTACATATAAATACATCGATTGTTGGGTAGTTGGTAGGACTGTTGTAGTATTCGCTATCTGTCAATGCTAAAAGAAGAAGAATAACATCCCATACTGATTAAACTACTCTACTGCTCTAGTTTCCTCTTCCTTATTCTCTGTCAATAGACCCTAGACTTTACTCTATTTTGTTCTCACTCTCGAGGTTATTACCATTGTCTTCAAATGCTGGCATTTTGACGAAGTTTCATCCAAATTCCAAGTTGCGCAAAGATGGATTCTGTCCGCTCAACGTATTTACCTGCTTCAAGACCTGCTGCATCCCTGCGAAGACGACTTAATTAAGGCATAATACGAGGTTCAGCCCTCAATCATTTGGTCTGCACATATAATGTGCTGTCAAAGATAGTCGAATGATGTTCTCGCTTAAATACACACTAAAAAGCGCACTCCGAGGTACTCCTTTTTGCAAAACCATTTGCGGGAGCGCCCGTTTGGCAGCCACCCCACCAAATTTTCGCCGTGACCACCGCCAAATGCACGCAGAAGCCAAATTCGTGGTAGATAGCTGTAGGTTAGCTGTAAATTCGTCCAAATATGAAGCCGTGTATAGTCCAATTGCCGAAGAACTTGATATAGCTTTTTTTAGGCCTCCACAGCCACGCTCTCGCTGTCGCTATGCCACCGCCGGTCCCAGTAATAGTACTCTATCCAGTGGTCCCAGTAGTAGTGCGCTGTCCAGTGCTTCCAGTAGTAGTGCTCTATTCAGTGCTTCCAGTAGTGCTCTGTCCAGTGGTCCCAGTAGTAGTACGAGTTTTTGTTTTTTTTTTTGTTGTTTTTTGCTTCAGTAGTGCTCTGTCCAGTGGTCCCAGTAGTAGTACTCTGTCCAGTGGTCCCAGTAGTAGTACGCTGTCCAGTGCTTTTAGTAGTATTGCTCTATCTAGTACTCCTAGTAGTGCTCTGTCCAGTGGTCCCAGTAGTAGTGCTCTGTCTAGTGCTCCTAGTAGTACTCCCCGTAGTGCTCCCAGTAGTACGCTATCTAGTACTTCCAATACTACTTTCTATAGTGCTCTATTCATTGCTCTTAGTACTGAAAGCACTACTGAGACCACTGGACAGAGCACTACTAAGAGCACTACTAGGACCACTAGACAGAGCACTGCTGAGAGCACTACTAGGACCACTGCTGAGACCACTAGACAGAGCACTACTAGGACCACTACTGGGACCACTGAACAGAGCACTACTGGGACCACTGGACAGAGCACTACTAAGACCACTGGACAGAGCACTACCGAGACCACTGGACAGAGCACTACTACTGGGACCACTGGACAGAGCACTACTACTGGGACCACTGGACAGAGCACTGCTGGGAGCACTACGGGGAGCACTACTGGAAGCACTGCAGACAGCATGGGCTGGCAAGAGGTGGTCCGGTGAAGCTACATTATAGGGCATACCTCACCACTACACCACATCCTTATGAATCAATCTCGCACACAAAGATCTGTCAATAAGTCGTTTGACGACGTGTTTCTGGCACAGTCCAGCCGTCTGATACGCCATATGCAGGGAGTGCAGTCATAGAGCTCCATTTTGGTGTGCCCCAGCCCATTTTTTTTTTCACCACTCTGTACAGAGGTTCTGCCCGATTTTTAGATAGTAACTACTTATAATCTACTTGAATAGCTACAGTGACTACTGCAACGGCTACTTAAATGTGGTTCTATATCTATGTAATGCGAAATACCTCTTACGCACATTTGGCGGTGGTCACGGCGAAAATTTGGTGGGGTGGCTGCCAAACGGGCGCTCCCGCAAATGGTTTTGCAAAAAGGAGTAAACAACGCGAAACTTTCGCGTTCCGTTTCGCTAGTACGGATAACCGTTCGACACACCCCCACCACTACCAGTCTACCACGGTTAAGATGTAGCGACAATAAGCGTCTGAATGCAAAAACATTATACAGACAAGACGCACAGCAGATGATTAGCGTGGCTGACATACACTTGCTCTACATTGTATAAACTCTACGATTTCCGAACCCTGATCACCCGCTGTGGGCTTTGTCTGTCACGCACAAAGTAGCGCTTGGAAATCTTTGTATATTGTGAGATCTTCGAGTGTGATTCGATGACCTTGTGCTATAAAAATGATCTGTCACTGAAACGTACGGTTTTCGATGAAAACCGTGGGGTTCGGATGTACTAAAAACAAAAATCGATCGTCCCTGTTGCCAATTCCGGAGTTTCTAGGCGGAGTAAGCCGGACGGAAATAAGACTAGGTCCTGACATTAAGAATCTAGGTATGAATTTACAAAGAATCGGCTCTCGACCTGAGTTCGATTGACTATGGTAAAGGTCAGTCAAAGAGAATGCTACAAGTTAGACCGACGAGCCTGTTTGAGAGGCTTTGGAGATTAGGATTGGAAAAACACAATGGCAGCAAATGCGAGCAGTGACACGCCTGTCCTCTCGCGAAGACATGTACACATTCTCATTGTCGGAGCCGGTCTTACAGGCCTGATTTTTGCCCAAGGCCTGCGAAAGTTCAACGCCTCTCCAGCTGCAACTGCACATCCGACCAAATACACCTATTCCCTATTTGAGCGCGACCCCTATGCACTTTCTCGTGGCGGAGGCTACAGTCTTTCGATACACTGGGCCCTGAGTAATCTTCGTGATGCTCTACCTGAAGACACCCTGACCGGTCTTAATGACTGCCTCGTCAACCCGTATGCCTTTGAGCAGGGCGAGCCTGGCCAATTCCAGTATCTGAACTTTCGCACAGGAGAGCAGGTAGTGGCCTTCCCGTTCCGGCCGGGCTCTTCTGCTCGAGTTTCCCGCGAAAAGATCATCAAGCTGCTGATGACGGGTTTGGATATTCAGTTCTCGAAGCATCTATCTGATATCAGTTACCCGACGGATACGGCCGTCAAAGCGCACTTCGCCGACGGCACCAGCGCGATCGGGGACCTTTTGATCGGTGCCGATGGTGTACGGTCCAAGGTAAGACGAGACCTGTGTCCCGGACCAAAAGGTCAGACACGCCAACTGCCCGTGCGAATGCTTGGAGTCAAAGTCAGCTACCCAGTCGAAAAAGTCGAACAATGTCGCAAGATCGATCCGCATTTTTATCATGGTGGGGATCCACAGACAAACGTGTATTCCTGGTTCTCGTTCATCCATTTGCCGCGTCCGACGGATGGGATCCCTGACGCAGAATGCCAGCTCACGTTCAGCTGGCCGTATGAAAAAGGATTTCTGGGTCGAGAGGAACCGACGGACATGCCTGCCACGAATGCAGAACGACATGCATGGATGCGACAGCTGGCGGATGGATGGGCAGAGCCGTTTCGTGAAATGATCTACGATCTCCCAGAATCCACGGAGCTGCGGGAGATTGGTGTGGAAGACTGGCGGCCTGAGAAGGGAGCTTGGGACAATCATAATGGACGAGTGACTCTTGTAGGAGATGCTGCGCATGCAATGACAATATGTGAGTTACTAAGTCCTAATTTCTTTCTTCCTCCTGCGCAGTGATGCTTTTCAAGTCAAGGATATGTCGGTAAAAGGAACTGACGTGGTGTTCAATGAATTGATCAGTTCGCGGTGAAGCTGCCAATCACGGTATCGTTGATGTGACGAGTCTCATGAGTCTACTTTTTGGAGAGCAGGAAGACTCTCCCAAGGCAGTGGACTTGAAGCACGTCGTTGATACGTACGAATATGAAATGATCGAGAGGACGTACCCGGCGACTTTGAGGGCACACCAGGCGTGCCTTGACGCCAATCACTTTGCTTCCGTTAAAGATGGTAGTCCGCTCATTGCAAGGAGAGCAATCAAGGTAGAGACATAACTACAACGGTGAAGAATTCCAATTAGCTTTATAATTTCGATCAGATTTTAAAGGTGCTGGTGCCTTCAACCATTTTATATGGTCAATTTCTTGTCGTCGTGGGACGGACGTTCAGCATAGGTGCAAGCTCGTGTCAACTGAAGTCGACTGGCACATCGACATCCCTGATCTTCTCACATCCTCTCACTACTTTAGATTCATGAGTATTATGCATCGCTATTGAAACAATGAGTGTCTGTAGAAGAAGACCCAAACATGCGAGACAGAGGAAATCTATCTAGAGATGGGCGATCAGGCCACTCGCACTGACAAAGCTCATTCCAACCACTCACCATCCAATGCGGACAAACATCTCCTTGTTATACAATGTTTTCGCCGTAGGTTTCGGAGCTTCTGATTCTCCGATACTTACAACTGCGATCCGGCAATCCCATGTGAATAATGCTCATTCTACACTCGTACGAGTAAGGCTTTAAACAAGATGATTCCCGGCCAGTAATGTCTTTTGCACAATGTGGATAAATAGAAGCTTCTCTTGCAGATATTGAAAGCGCCATGTCGTCGACTAGTTACGATTTTATCATCGTTGGAGGTAAGGTATCTGTGACCCCAAGCTTGCTCATCACCGAGTGGAGGCAAAATAGCAAATAGATCCCATCAACTAATCAGGAATCACTTGATGTAGCCGGACCCTGCGGAGCAAGCATAGCATCGCGTCTTGCCAACACACGATCCAAACCATCGGTCCTTCTGATCGAATCCGGTGGTCCCAATACCGACTTAAAGGACCGGATCGCCGGCGAACGACATATCTTTTGGGCCACGAGTGGCAAGCATCTCGACTATGGCTACAAAACTGTCCCTCAAACGACACTGAACGGGAGACAGATACCGTACCAGCGTGGGAAGGGTCTTGGCGGTTCGACGGCGACAAACCTTGGCTTGTGGGATTATGGCTCGAAGCCGGAGTTGGATGAATGGGCGAAACTCGTTGGGGATGATGTGTGGAGATGGGACAATGCTCGCGAGAGGTTGAAGAAGGTTTGAACTTCCTACCTTTACCCTCGACTTTCTTCGTTTGACTGACTTGAAGGGAGGGCAAATAGATAGAGAATTACCACAATCTCACGCCGGCGGAATTTGAAAGATACGTTCGTCCTCAATCGAGGGCGCATGGGACCGATGGGTACGCTGATACTGAGATATCTCTCGAGAATGAGCTATCCTGATTGCAACAGACCGGTTGATGTTACGATTCCTGCACAGTGGGATCCATGTTTGAAACGGCTTCTGGAAGCGGTGGAGGCTTACGGCGTACGTCTTTTGACCCTCGAGTTCGACGTAGCGGTAAACAAAGTCACGTTGCTGACGACGATATAGCTACCATTGAACCCTGATGTCAACTCGGACAAATGTATTGGCTTTGGTGTCCCGCCGGGGACGATCCATGACGGTCTGCGCGTCACAGCAGCTTCAGCCTATCTGGTCAAGAAACCAGGCAACCTGAACATCTTGACAGATTCGAAGGTCACGCGTGTTCTGTTCGAAGGCAAGAGAGCTGTAGGGGTGGAATTGCAAGGAGAAAAGAAATGTCAGTCTGCCGTGGAAGCCTTGCCCAAATACAAATTTCATTGACATCTCCACACCAGACTACTCGTCCAAAGACACAATCATCTGCGCTGGCTCCATCGATACACCCAAGCTCCTTCTTCTCTCCGGTGTCGGTCCTGCTCAGGACTTGACCAAGCACGGTATCTCTGTTGTTATAGATCATCCAGCCATCGGCTCGAATCTCTTAGACCATCCCATGATCCGAATGGTCGCGCCCGTGAAGCCTGGATTGATTCCTCCAGAAACCATTGCGCCCATGCAGGGTGCAATGGAACAATGGTTTAAAGACCGAACAGGACCACTGGCAACTGACAATGCCAGTACCTGCCACGGATATCTGAAGCTCGACGTGGCTAGCTATCCAGAATTCGATTCACTCAACGAACAGACTCGGAATCTATTGTCAAACCCGCGGACACCCGCCTATGAACTCGTATGCGTAAGTTTCTTCCACCTACTCATGTTGTCTTAAATGATATCGAGGTGTTTTCAGCGCATCGCCCCAAATCCGACCCAGGACGGCTTCCTCTGGAACAGCAGCACGATCATGATGAACCAGCAGTCCGTCGGACGGGTCTCCCTCCGAAGTGCGGACCCAGATGAGCCCCCGGCCATCGATCTGAATTTCCTATCGCACCCGTATGACCTTCGCGTCACAGTTGATGCGGTTCGAAGAACGGCGGAATTCTTGCAAAGCTCCATCATACCAACGGATCCATTCATGTTTGGACCGAAGAGTACCAAGGAAACAGATCTTGTGGTATGCCCCCCCCCCTTCCTCTTTTTCTTCTTCTTCTTCTTCTTCTTCTTCTTTGGACTTCAAAATCGCGCAGGCTGATGGACAATCTCAGGAGTTCATCAAATCCAACCTCGGGCATTTGTGGCATGCAGCGGGTACTGTTAAGATGGGCAAGCTAGGAGAACCGGGGACGTGCGTCACGCCAGACTTTCGGGTTGTCGGACTGGAGGGTTTGAGGGTGGCGGATTTGAGTGTCTTGCCCATTTTGCCCAGGTAAGCAGATTGGCTCCCGGAACAAAGTGAGTAACGGGGCTGACTGTCCATTCTCCAGTAACCATACCCAATCAACGGCGTATTTGGTCGGTGAGATCGCGGCGGACAAGCTTGTTGGGGAGTATAGACTTGATTAAACCTCTGAGAGTGGTGCAGTAGTTGACTTAGACTGTCACAATTGACTATGATGTCAGAGTTATTATGATCATGAGGAACAATCTCTTCTTAGAAGTACATAATAGCTACGCAGGTGTCAACACGACGTATTTTTTCCACGACCGTTAGCATCAGGAACTCTCTCCGGAGGAACATATCAAAAGTATACTTTTTGGGCTCATTCCAGAGGCACAGTGACTACTTGATCATACACATGAAGTGGCCAACACGGTTGGTGATCGAAATGCAAATCATAAATCATCCTATCGCCTGGAACAAAATGATAACACTCACCAGATAATAGGAAAGGAAGGAAATAACTTCGATATGTGGAGCATAAATTCGAGGTCATTCTGATTTCGCAATATGATCCGGAATTTCTTGCCAGGCTTCACTCCAAGTCTCACCTGGATGATGACGGGTGCAGCGGGCTTCCGAGAGGCTCACTACAAGAAAGCCAGTACGTGGCATGAGCGCACGGAAAAAGATTACATAGTGGATGGCATTCGAACGGCTTGGGTCCACGGTCTTACCCTTTCTACGAGCCCTCACGGTACCGAGAGCTGCTATTGCCAGCCAGCAGGAGTGACATAGAACAAAACCAGCCCCTTTACCAAGTCGAGATTGTGATCGACGCAGAACTGGCATTCACATTCTTAGTACTTCAACACAGCTTTGCCAAAGTTGCGACCGCTGAACAGAGCCGTCAACGCTTCGGGAGCGTTCTCGATCCCCTGCACCTCCCAGGTCGTGGTCTTGATCGTGCCATCTTTGATCCACTTCTGCACACGTTCCTGGTGTTCCTTATCGTACTTGTCCGCAAAGCCTGTGTCCGACACGACGAAGCCACGGACGGTCAACCGCTTGCTGAAGATGAGGCTGTAATTTCGCACAGGGTACTGCTGCTCCACCGGCGTGTTGTAGCCCGCAATCGTCCCACACATGGGTATGCGGCCGAAATCCTTCATGCTGTCTAGCGCGGCCTCGAGATGTTCGCCGCCGACGTTCTCGTAGTAGATATCCAGACCCTCTGGCGCTAACCGTTGCAGCGCCGCTGCGGGCTTCTCCTTTTTGTAGTTGAAGCCGCCATCGAACCCGAGCTCCTTAGTGATGAACTCCAGCTTCTCGTCTGATCCCACACTTCCAATCACCTTGAGTCCCTCAAGCTTGGCTAGCTGGCCCACCATCTGCCCTACCGCACCGCTGGCCGCAGATACGAATATCGTGTCGCCCTTCTTCGGCTTGCCGATCTTGTAGAACCCGGCGTAGGCGGTCAAGCCCGGCATACCCAGAGCTCCCAGGAAGACTCGAATATCCTCAATGCCTAAAGGGTTGTTCAGCTGCCTCAGCAGGAAAAGCCTTTTGTCGTCGAGCGCAATATACTCCTGGATTGGAAGCATGCCGACGACGATATCTCCTTCTTTGTAATTGGGATTTTTGGACCGCAGCACTTTGGCAATGCCTCTGTTGTTGATCGGTTGACCTAAAATAAAGGGCGGAGAGTACGACTTGATGTGTGCGGGGCGCATCCGGCCACGTTGGTAAGGGTCGATACTTGCATATAGTGACTGCAAAAAGAGTCCATTCTCGGGGCAAGCGCCAGTGGAATCATACGAGACGGACCTAACCGTCAAGTCCTTACCGACAACTGGCAGGCCGGAAGGAATATCTGTGAAAATGATAGCCACGTTTCCCGGCATTTTGCTGCGATCAGGGCAGGAGACAAGGGGACAGAGTGGGAGGAGGCTGAAATACCTTATTGCTGTTTGGAAGATGATGAAAGCGAGGTTGATTGAACTCACGCGATGATTGGAAAAGATAGCTGTTCAGATAGTGCTCCATAGAAGGTAGTACTTGAACTAATATAATTAGTCTGTCTTGCAAGGCGAGCGTGGGCGTACTTTTGCTTGGCGGCCTCGGTTCACCCCTGAATTTCATCCATACCAGCGCGTGGGACGCAGCAACTCCGTATAAAGAAACTCCGAATGACATGAGCTAGTTTCTGAGCTCGCATACACACCATTCTGTACTGTACTGAAATTTTATAAGCGGGTTTGAGCCTAGAGTTACTTGACGGTGGGTCGACCGCCTGTAGCGATTCTTAGAGGTAAAGATTGTTACCGTCACCCCTTCTGCGGTTTAAACAGGAGGTGAAAGCCCGGAACCACAAAACAGGCACCCATGGACTCGATCTTGTTTCAAGTACTCACCAAGCGTTTCTTCTTTTGGAATCCAAATTGAATTATTTACGTCGAACCAACATGGTGAAAGTGCTTTTGACTGGTAAGCTACCTGTTTTTTCACTTGTACACTGTGACAGAAAAGACTGAAATACATACGATCTGCAGGAGGTAGCGGGTTCATTGCCTCCCATATATTGGGCACCTTGTTAGAGCACGGGTGACTACCAATGCCTCATCCTGAGAAGTCCAGGAACTGATAGCGGATGACAGGCATGACGTTGTCACTACAGTCCGATCTAAGGCAAAGGGAGATAAGATCCTCGAGGCTTATTCAAACACCCTGAAGGAGAAGCTCTCCTATGTCATCGTTGAAGATGTTGCCCAAGATGGTGCTTTTGACCAGGTGATTCAATGGGAGCACTGTGTTTTGTTCATGGTACAGCGCTAAGTAAGAGAAATCTAGGCTGTGAGGACTGACCCGCCATGTGAATGTGTGATCCACACAGCCTCGCCATTCCATTTCAAAGTCAAGGACCCAGTGAAGGATATTCTTGACCCGGCGGTCAAGGGTACCAGCGGGATTCTCAAGTCAATCAAGGCATATGCGCCAACCGTGAAGCGTGTGGTTGTAACTTCATCATTCTCTGCTATGTTCGGTCTCAACGCGCATCCCAAAGTTTATGACGAGACTTCGTGGAACCCGGTCACCTGGGAGGGCGCAGTGAAGAATCCACGTCTGACGTATCATGGCAGTAAAGTGAGTATGCCGACGTCAGCCGCCACAATCCAATAATCTTGACTAACATACTTCGGGGGCAGACCTTTGCAGAGAAAGCAGCTTGGGATTTCGTGGAGAAGGAGAAGCCGAACTTTGATGTGGTTACTATAAACCCCCCTCTCGTGTTCGGCCCAGTTACACATTATGTTAGCAGTCTCGACGGTCTCAACACGTCGAACGAGAGAGTTCGAGATATCATTCAAGGAAACTTTTTGGACAAGGCTTTGCCACACACTGGCATATACCTCTGGGCGGATGTTCGCGACGTCGCTCTTGCTCATATACGAGCGATCGAAGTACCAGAGGCTGGCGGCAACCGATTCTTGGTCACAGCAGGGCATTTCTCGAACAAGATAGTGGTGGATATGATTCGTGAAAGCCACCCTGAACTTTCGTCCAAGCTTCCGGAGAACCCGACAGATGATATACCTGCAGACATCTATGGCTACGACAGCTCGAAGGCCAGTCGAATCTTAGGCATCACTTTTCGATCTCTGAAGGACAGCATTGGGGACACTGTCACTTCACTTGTGAAGCTGGGTGCTTAGACTTGAGAACCGGTAGCCTTGAGTGATAGAATAATTCAACACTGACTGTGTATACTTCGAATGTGTTTCTTACTAGGTGCATCATGGAGGCATAGCTACCATGACGCAGGATTACCCAAGAAATTGTTGTATAGACTCTGCACCCTGGAAAGAGTGAGGCTCGAGGGGCTTGCAATTTCAGCGAGGAACTAGCCAGATTAGATTTAGCTCCATGCATCATCGCTTACTAAGGTACCTTACTTTTGCTGGGGTTCGACCTCAGAAAAATCCTGTAAAGCTACATTACAAGTACCTTGATCAATCTGAGATCACAACTCCAAGCTCTATATACGCAGTTGTACAGAGCCTATTGGATGTATCTTGAAATCGAACACCCTTCAATTTCATCATGTTCATGATACGTAGTCTAAAATCTCCTTCACTGTGGATTGGAGGTGCAGACGATCTTCTGCGAACTGTTTCCCAAACGAGTCTTCCAATGCCTCCTTGAGTTCAACCACAGAAAGAGAATCGATACCGATTTCTTCGAGGCTTACACCATCCTCGATACCACTAAGAGACTCGCCAGAGTTCTCGCAAATCAATTCCAAGATACTCTGTCTATTTCTCATTGTGCGCCCCAGGTCGACCGCCCTTTTACCGTCGGGGGAAGGCTTCGTGGAGCCATTCGTTAAGTCCGACTCATCCGCATGGAGAGACTCGCCATCGATCGAGTCCGGCCAAGCGACCTGCTCGTAGATAGCTGCCACCGCTGGGAGAGTTTCATCCGGGATGTCCTTTCCGAGTTGAGATTGGAGCCTTTTCACAAGCTTAACGCCTGCCAACGAATCCAAGCCGAGCCTCCCAAGGATACCATCTTCCCAGGGTTTCATGGGCCTAATAGACGTTGTTGATAAAGCTTCCGTTGCGACGAGCGTCGGCTCATCGTAGTCTTCGCGATCGACCTTTGCTTTGGTACTGGTTTCCTTGGCTTCCGCATCAGGGTCTTCCGCTGAAGACTGCGCTGCTGGAAAGACTCTCTGTTTCGTGGGTTTAGAGGCAGAATTGATGTTCATGCCTCGGAGCAATTTCTCAAGCTTGTTGATTGGGTATATCGTAAACTGTACACCGGAACCAGTCATGATGAGCTTCCCGGCTTTGGTGAAAACGAACATGTCGCCCGCGACCTGTGAGTCATTCCGTGATGAGGACATGGCATATACCGTCCAAGAATCGCAGGTTGAAAAATCGCAATCCTGCATCACGATACTATCAATACTGGTTGCAATGAACACTTCACCTTCGCGGCAACTGTCGCTGCTATTGATAAGCAGACCAACGACCTGGATGAACGTGTCCAGCGTGACAGTATCGCATATTTTTGCCGCTGTACTTTCTGTAGAGCTGACAGACGCGCTAGGGCGACGGATTTCGGCCACAGCGTGATTTCCTAGGATCGAGATCTGCGAAATTCCCCGTAACGTCTTCGCATAGTTCACGACTCGCGAGAAGAGCGTATAAGCTCGGCCGGCCATCAATTTCTCGGCCCTGGGATCCGTGATCAGAGCCTGGATCCGGTCAGCGATAACCCGTTCGTACAGCTGGAAATCCACCCGGGAGGTAACACTGAATCGTCCCTTTGAGTGGGTAGTCAAACGTGCTTTGGGATCATGTTTGAGAGCACTGTGAGCCGAGAAATTCCAAGTCAGGTATTCTCCAGCGCCTTCCATGGCTAACGAGACATCCCTGTCGTAGTTGATTCCGAGAGCCGCCTGGAACGAAAGGTTCTGAAACTTGAATGCTCTCACCGAGATCCCGGGCTCGATCATTTGTGAGGCCATTACAACACACTCCATATACATCGAGGCCGGACAGAGTGGCTGGCCCCGTACCGCATGGGCAGACACTGCTTCCGTAAATCGATTGGATTCCGTGTGGATGGTGAAATTCAACGAGGCCCATGAGTTCGAAGCTCTCCTTCGAGGAGTAACCAACTTGGTAGGGACGACCTGTTTGGGCACGTCCCCGTTTGTCACGTGCTTCTGGAGTGCTTTCCGTTCCTCAATAATCGGATCGAGGTATTTGAGCCAGTGTTTACCCCGTCGGAATTGGTAAGGTGGAAGCCAAATTGGCTTGAGACCTGACTCCTCGGCTGAAAGGAATCCCCAGAACGATGTAGATATCCCCTCTCTCCAAAGTGTTGTGGTTGCCGTCGATATCGTGTTCTTGTTTTCTGTCGTCTTCATGGCCAAAAACACGTGCCCAGATGGATCTTGGACGGCTTTCTTTGTCATTGAGATAACCGGAGAGTCTATGCCTGCCTCAAGCCAAACGCAGGGTCCAAGACGTTGCTCGAGCCTGGCGACCGCGTCACTGAAATACACCGGTGTTCTGGTGTGCTGGACAACTCGATCGGATGTGATAGTGTCCACAGGATGCTGGGTACATGCTTCCAGCGGCACCGTGGGTTTTTGGAAGGTTAAGGTCTTCGACACCATGTCAAGGTCTTCAAGAATTGATTCAGTGAAGACTGAATGGAACCCGTGACTCACGTTGACGCGCTGATGCTGGATACCACGGAATCCTGGGTCTTCATTCATCATCTCTTCAGTTCTCTCGATGTCCGATTGAGACCCGACCACCACTTGGCTCCTCGGACCATTGAAACAAGCGATTTCAAGTCCTGTCGCAACCCCGCCAATGTTCACGATTGCAGTGATCTCACGTGTCACCTCACGTGTGGAGTGAATAGCAAGCATCGTTCCACGTTCCGAACCCCACTTGCGTTTCATCAAGGAAGCCCGTGAAGCGATCAATTCTAGAGCATCTTCCAGGGACAGAATGCCCGAAACGGCCATGGCTGTTAATTCCCCAAAGCTGTGGCCAACGACGGCTTGGATTTTCAAACCAGCCTCCATCCAGCATTTTGCGCACGCGTATTGCACGGCAAATGTGCCACATTGTAGTGCGACAATATCTGATACAGCCTCGGATTGAAACACAACAGGAATGATTGGAGGATGACCAAAACGGCTGAGAATCTCATTACACCGATCCAGATAAAACCGGAGGCGTGGAAATCCGCGGTACCAGGACTGATCGAGCTGAATGTTTCGTTTACTCTGGCCCGAGAACACCAGCACAACCGGTTTGGTGGCGGAAGGCATCTCAAAGATCTTTACCAAGTCGGTTTCTAAGGTATGACTCAAACGACTGAGCTCGCGTTCTGTACCAATCCAGCGTACGCTATGATGCTTTCGACGTTCGTGCAAGGTAAATGCCAGGTTTCCAATGCTCAGTTCTCTTCCATTCTGTACCTCTCGAATATACGCTGCCAGTTTCGCCGCGTATGACTTGAGATCCTCCACTGTTGCTGCACTGAGGAAAATCGGATAATCTAAATCCGAATCACGACTTGGTGCGTTGATTCTCCGAGGCGCTTCGCAGCATATGAGCGCTGAGTTGCTGCCTGCAGCCCCGTAACTGTTCACTAAAGCGGCTCGGAACGGGGCGTCCCAAGGAATGACTTGGGAGTCGATGCGTAGGTGATCTGGCTCAAGCGCAAGGATTTTCGGATTCAGAGATTGAAATCCTGCCAGCGGAGGAATCTGCCCATGCTGGATCATCGCAAGGACCTTAAGTAGGCTGCCCACTCCCGCCGCGGTCTCACTGTGGCCTATATTTGCCTTGAGAGAACCGATATGCAAATAATTGTCTCTCTGTGGTCCTCCAAGTACCTCGCGAACACTGGCTATCTCGATCGGATCACCAACCTGGGTACCCGTTCCATGTGCTTCGACATAAGAGACCTGATTGGCCTTGATGCCGGCTCGGTTAAGGACGGTTTCGAATAAGGCGGTCTGAGCACGGGAGTATGGAACGGTAATGGATGACGATAAACCGCCATGGTTGGTTGCCACTCCTGGAATCACTCCAAGCACATTGTCCCCATCAGTGACGGCCTGACTCAGAGACTTGAGAAATACCAGTCCAACACCATCCGCGCGGCAGTACCCATCGGCAGCCGCATCAAATGGCTTGCACTGGCCACTGGGGCTGAGAAAGCCTGCTTTTCCCAGGTCAAGGTAATTGTGAATTCCTGTGACAATGTTGACCCCCCCTGCCAAGGCCATTGGGCATTCTCCGGCCTGAATCGCCCTACAAGCTCTATGCACGGCTACGAGTGAGGATGAACATGCCGTATCAACTATTTCAGAAGGACCACTCCAGCCAAAGTAGTAGCTGATCTTCCCACTCTGGAATGCTCGAATAGTGCCTGTCGCCGTATAGGCGGTCGGACTATATGCAGTGGTATTTTCCAGATACTCGGTGTAAGTGGAACCAATGAAGCAGCCAACGTTGTCGAAATCCTCCCGGCGGTGGAAGCGTAGGTAGCCACTGGAATCCAATGCTTCATAAGCTGTCTCTAGCAGTAGACGCTGCTGTGGATCCATGTAAGTGGACTCGCGAGGGCTGATACCGAAAAATGTATTGTCGAACTCGTCTACGCCGTCTACGAAGTTGCCGTACCACTTATGTTTGGTCCCAACTTTGCCATCTTGAGCAGCGCGATGAACGAGGTTAGGGTCCAATCTGTCTAATGGCAACTCTTCTACTCTTGAGCTGCCAGCGCTTATCAGGTCCCAGAGTTCCTCTATCGACTTTGCTCCCGGCAGACGACAGGCAGCACCCACTACGGCAATGGCGTCGCTAGGAAATGAGTCCGGACTTGGACCTTCTCCAGGGATTCTCAGCGTGTCCACATAGGTCATCACGTCCAGCTTGGTTATCTTCAACTGTTTTCCTTCGAATGGCGTGAGAGGAACACAGTTCTTTCGGCCCGTACCAAACATAGCAAATGTATGTGCCGAATCTCCCGTTTGGTGAAGCTCATGGGACATGGCGATCAGAAGGTTATACCACTCACACCGCGACACGAGAGTGGTGTCGACCACTTCATGCGTCAGAGAGACTCCAGACAATAGCTCGCCCGTTTTGTTGGACCTCACGGGCACCTTGAGGTCTGCAGAGCTTGGAAGCTGCAATGCGGGAGTCTGATCGCACAAGTTGCAAAATTCCTTGCACAGGTCACGGTTTTCAGGATTGTGTACTTTCCCTCGGAGATGCAGTGCCGTGACAATCAGCCCTTCTGATTCGGCATACGCTTTCAGTTCCTCGAGCAGTTGCACTGGTCCCACAATACTGATTGACAGTGGATCTGTTACGGATGAAATATATGACTGGTTCCCCGTCCAGTATCAGCACTGCTTTCGGTAGAGTGGGGAAGCAGAAAACTCACCCCTGGAAACTTGGCCACTATCTCATCTGCTTGCCCAGGATATTTTATGCGAAGAACGATTGTCGTCGGCCCGGGTTTGCTCTCGTCATCCCCAAGCTCACCGTATGCTCCAATACCAAGCGCGATACGCAAGGATACGACTGCGTTTTCAACAAGCTCCTGCTCGTCACGGGAGGCAGCAATGGCCATGGCAGGCAATAAGCCTCCGCAATAGCCTTGCGCTCCTCCTACCCGAATTTCGTCCAGGAACTGGGCATGACTGATCCCTCGGAAGTCGAGATATTGGAAATATTGAACGATCTGGATGATGGTGAGGATAGGAAGGGTTATGATGCCGGATATTATCTCCGTTAGGGGAGTGGGAGTGTTGTCGATGATCCAGTTGCGCAGGTATTTCACGTATCGCGGTCCTTGTTGCATCACAGCGATGCCTGCGTTTGTCCTGGCATAAAGCTCCCATGTGCTTGATAAATCTAAGATGGCTTCTACGAAAGGCTTCAATGTCGGATTACCACAGAGATAACGCCGGAGTTTGTCCAAATAGGCCGCCCGTGGCGGCTTGTTCTGGGGACAGAACAGAGCCGCCGATGCAGCTTGATCGCTACGCTGTAGCATCGCAAGCAAAAACGTGGACGTCGTTTGACAAAGAAGCAACAATATCAAATGAGCAAATCCCTTCGTTCACTTTTCAGTGATGTGCCTAAGTATAGGAGGTCTCGTACAAGGAAGTCCTGAGGTGCCAGAAACACGAGCTGATCGAGTAGTTGAGCTCAAGATCAATCCTTGTCTTATTTTAAAACACAAATCTGCAGTGGTATAGTATCCTTTGTTGTTTCAGACATAAAATATTATATGCTACGATGCATGAAATGGCAAAAAGTCCGCTCAGAAAGTCCGATTGAAGTATCTAGCCTTGAACTCCGATGTCCGCACCCAAAACCTCATCACATGGTTCACCATGTGTTCTCAGGCTTACGATTAAACGGAGACCGTTTCAGTCTTATCCTTCTCAGCGGCGTAGTCCAGCAAAGTAGACTCGGGCACGATCATATCTTGATTTGGATTTCATAGGAGCAGACCACAGATGCGTCATTTTATTGTATCAGCTCACTCTCCATCTGGAGCTAAGCTACGATCAGTAGAAATCTCATGCATAAGGCCGCGTCTGACTATCTTAGAGCATCACATTTCTTTTATGAGAAATGAGCTGGTGCACAGCGGATGCCATATAAATTAGTATCAGAAAAGGTATATAGACATACAAAGTGGTTCGATGCATCGTTTTAGCGTTGGAAACAAAATCGACTTACTTGAACCTGCTTCCTAAAATTCATTGCCTGGTCAGTGATTTTCAGTCACCGGCCAAGACTGATGAAATAGCAAGACGAAATTAGACACTCATCAACAGTATTCGAGATGAATGAGCCTCAAATACTCAATCTCCCGAGGTAACGATGTTAGTACTGCAAGAAGAAATCGAGTCTTGACAACCGTTACGGACTTTTGACAGTTTTCAGTCGCGCGATGGAATACCGGATACTGGATACTTTTTTTATACCAGCTTGAAGTGCACCGGACTTGGCCAAACAACCCAATTGGTGGTGACAAATAGCGCAAGTAGAGGCGTATAGAATATCTCATTAACTCGAGGAGTTGGACCGACCAACTCTTTGCCGACATGAAGAAGAATCAGTCGTAAGGTCAGGAAAACACCAAATCTCTTCCCCAGCGTAGTGATGCATAGTCGGACTCTTCGAGTAATTCATTGTGTATAACTCTAAAGAAACATCTATCACGGGTTCTAGAGAGAATAATAATCTCAGCATATGTGATGTCTAGTTGGATGTCTCAGGCCTCGACTGCAATGTTTCGAGTTTCGTACGGTAAGAGCACGAGTTAAAGCTTTCTTCCTGCCGCTATGACGGGGTAGTGTTTGTCTGGCGTTAGATGTCTGGAGTGTTTATTTTAATGAAAAAATGTCTAGTTCTAAATCTGCAATTCTTTCACCAAAACATCGCGCAGAGTCTCCAGTAACTCCGCCGCGGTAGTCGCATCATGGTACGCCTCGTTGAACCACAAGTTGAACTCCACCTGGTCACGGAACTTCCACGCAGTACAGTAAGTTTGCCGAGTCAGTGTTTCCACTCCGAAACCGAGGCTCAGGATCTCTAATGGGACGTTCTTTGATTCCAGGACGGGAGTGACCAGCTGATCTGCACCATCCACAAAGGAAATGTCAATATTGCTCACGGGGGGAGGTGGAATACCCTTCCGCAGACCCTCGAGGGCTAGGATGGCGTACTGCCGGCGAGACTGCAGGAAGTCCTCGGTCACCCCGCGCTCGTATTCAGCCTCATATTGTTTGGCATTGTCCGCCCATGATTGGGTCGATGGCACCTTGAACATGTACCCTCCGGTGTACAGTCCGGAGGCTAGGGCAGGCGTGTTGTACGGCTCCTGGAGATATGGCCGTAGGCTGAGGCGGATGGTGCTCGTGTAGTGTTTGTCGCGAGCATCCGCGGGGGCTCTCGCGTAGTTGACCGCCGCTAACGCGGCATGGACAGCAGAGAAGACACCGATTCCACGGGCCTGGCAGGCGGCGACTAAGGCCTCCGTCGTGACCTTGGGCAATTGGAGGCGGACTCTCCGAGTGCCTCCTGGCCGCGTCATGAGGTCTCCTCGATATGGGATGCCGACGGTCCCCAGAAGATGCGCCCCGGTGGCTAGAAATTGCCTCGCAGCTACCTCAACATGGGGTGTCGTGGATGCGGGAAGGTTCAAGGCCGTTTCCACACTGGGAACGAGTCGAGCCAGCTCCTCCCCCCACGAGATTTTTGGCGGACCTGCATCCACGACTGATGCGACTGCGACGAAGAAGGTATTCAGCAGCTGTAATGCACCATACCCATCCGTCCGCCAATGGGCTGTATGCAGGACGACCTCCCATTGATAGGGTAGAAAGTGTAGAGTGACGAAGGGGCTTGGCTTGAGGCTGGCGATCAGATCGTCTGCACTAGTCGCCGGGTCTTCCACCACGAAGAAGGTTCGATCCAACCACTCTGCCAGGCTCGACGTGTTGGGGGTGACATAATCCAGGACGTTGCCAGTCACCGTCGAGGCAATGCTGGGATGTTCAAAACGAAGCAGCTTCCACCCCTCGCGAAGGGTCTCCGACCATTCAGTTCCTGTTCGATCATCGCAGGCCTTGAATGTTGCTGTAGCTGTGACGGACCACTGCTCACGACCGGCCGGGTGAGCGCGATCCCCGATCAGCTTGATAAATTGTTCATTTTCCCCGAGTGGTCTCTGATGACGGCCGCGAGAAGCTTCTGACCACGACATCTTGATCACAAGGATAGTATTGATCTGGAAGAACGCTGCTGTGGATCCAGTACTGCTTCCGTGATCCTCGTATGTTCTTTCCTCGCAAGATCATTTGGACTGTGTCCTTTTTCCTTTTTCCTTCTGTTGCAACAATGTCAGATGTCACGACCGTGAAAAAGAACGTACTCCGCTTTCAAAATTCAGGACTAGTAATAATACTTCCATTCAAGCAGTAAGTCTCTGTTATTATCCATGTGACTCAAACGTAGCATTCCTGTGTGCTGAAACAGATGACGGGTTGAACTATAACTTCTATTTGGTGTTCTTTGCTTAATTACAACAGATCATATGCATACTAATGAAGAACATGAATAATGCCCCGTATTGGTTGTTCTCCAACTCGGAGTATCTCAAACTCCATGACTTAGTGAGACGATTTCAAGTCCGCGGGCTCGATCTCCTGGGTCTCTGCAACACTCTGGGTTGTGCAATGCAAAGAAATACCCTCAGCGAACACCTAAATGTAGCCGCAGCTAATCCTAACGAAGCTATAGTAGATGTTCAGGTAACCATTTGATGAGCGAACAAACCACAAATCTTACATGACTGCGGCAAAATACGTAAAGATTGCTCACTTCTAATGTGGGCTATTCTTGCAAGAGATAGCCACCTAGAGCATTTAGATCTATGGTACCCAGATAGTCTTGGAAAAGGGTGCAGAAGTTCGAATTGAGACTCTCGAGAGTATGGGGAGTGATAGGCAAACGGAGGTGTGAAGTTTCGAAGAATGGACGCCAAGCCGGCGCGGAACATCAATTATCCGTGAGTGAAATGTAATTGTTCAAATCGCCACAGGACCGTACCATGCTATGGATCAGTTGTGATTGTGCAATGCTACGTAACGAGGAGTGAAAGAATGCTATGGCCACTTCTGAGATGTCCGGGCATGATGGTGACGGGTCAACAGATAGGCGACAATGACGGGCAGGTGCGCAAAAGGTGCAGACAAGTTCCTTTGCCGTTCAAATCGTGTGATTCGATTCTCCCAGTGATCTAATATACTCAGAATCAACACAACCGCATTCACGTCACTTCTTCTCGGTCTAGGTTCTGGGAACATATTTACTCCAAGATCGAATCTTCGCTCCGTAGCAGTAAAGTATGACGGGAACTGTGAAGAAAACACTTGCTAAGATGCCAACAACGGAGGAAGCCCATTGAACCTGTTTGGGGAGATCTATTAGCTTGAGGAACAAAGCCACCAGTGTTCTGATTTTCTCTCTTCGGAAAAGAAACATACCCCTAGCTTTTGATACATGGGAATAGCGATCAGAGGAAATAGCCCGCCGAGCAGAGATCGGACGATGACGGTGCCGGAAACGGCCGAATTGGCGTCGACAGAGTAAATGTCGAGAACATAAGCAAGAGACTGGAGTGTAATGATCTGGATGCCCGCTCCAATAGGAACTCCGGCCACGATCTGGGGCCAGGGAGTGATCGCTGGGGAAGAGGTCCAGGCGAACCAAAAAAGACCAAAGGGAAGAACCGCCGCGCCCACGATCATCGGTGGAAGACGGTCTTCGGGCACCAGTTTCCCTTGTTCCCGGAACTTTCGACTGTAAGTCGTGAGGGTGTAGCGCGAGACATAAACAGCTCCGAAGACAATCCCAACAATAACGGCAATGAGTGGCAAAGAGCCACCGACGGGTGTGAATCCTCGCTCTCGGATGAAACTGAAAGAATAGGCCTGGGTTAAGTCCAGTCAGTGAGTCAATCAAATAATTAATTAATCAACCACCCAAAGGACGACCTTGTTGGCCAACTTACCACGAACAAGAAGTATATCATGCCGAAGGTAAATGACACGTACAGCGTCATGAGAACCAAAATGGGTTCCTGGGCGAGCATGACGAAGGGGCGAGTGAGATATCGGACGGCAAAGTCTTTTATGCTAACGGAAGACTCTTCCAATTTGGAATGAAGTGCCCAATTCCTAGTCTTAAGTCGCCGTCGCTGAGCCTCTCTCTTTAGGAGGACCGGCACGTATGTCTCGGGCACAACCAACCACCCGATTCCGCCGAAGACCACCGCCATGATCATGGACAACCATGCAGTCCAGCGCCAATCGAGGGAGCTCTGCATTACAATGTTACCAACAATCGCGCCCACGGACGGACCGATTAGAGTCGTCGCAGCAAAGATGGCGACTGCAACGCCACGTTCGACCGGGCGCAGAAAATCCGCCAGATACCCGCCTACAATGGCAGGAGAGCCCGATGAGGCCACGCCTCCAAGGAAGCGGTAAATGAGAATTGTCCGAACATCATGCGCCATGGCCACTGGAATTTGGAACAGAATGAATGCCAGATACCCGAGGAATAGAGGTAGTTTGCGACCATACAATTCCGACGCTGGTCCCATGATCACGGGCCCCGTTGCGAAGCCGAAGACAAAGAGTGACGTCGCCAGAGCGACTACTTCCGGGGCGACTTCAAATTCGCGAGCCACGTCTGCAGTAACGGCGGTGAAAACCGCACTGGCAAAGGTCGCTGAAAAGGTTAGGGCGCCCAGGATCGCCGCACAGAGCCATTTCCGCCATTGTGGAAGATTTTGCGGATTCAATGGGTCCCCCGGCCCAGCGAGTTCGACAAGGCTGGAGCTGGTCTCCCCCTCGTCCCCGTCTGGTAGAAGAGGCGTTGTCTCGGGATCGTCTTGAGCATAAACCATGGTGTTTCCCGGGTGAAATTGAATAGGAAAGTTTTTTCCAAAGAGGTCGTCGTCCGCTCGATCTCTACGAAGAGAAAGAAAATTTAAAAGAAAGCAAGAAGTTAAACACTGATTCACATGTTGTCAATGTCCAACAATCTTCAGACGACAAACCCCGTCCGGCTTTACCTTGTTTGACGGGCAATTAGACATAGTACGAGACTCCGATGAGAAACTCCGACAGCATACTGTGAAATCATACCACCATGATAGGAATATTCTTACGAGATAAGATCACTGGCATTTTGTTATATGGGTATACTGTGTCATAAAAGTGACTGAAAACAATGATGTGGTTAATAAATCTTGGATCGCCAGCCTGGTGCAGTCAGTGCGAGATATTCTACAGGTGTGGAATTGGTCCGAACGGGTGAACCACCGTAGCGAATTCATCACAGGTGGAGAACCCAAAGACTCCGCATTTTGGGTGTATTCGCGGTGCGGGTGAAGTAGACACGAGCACGCCACAGTTCTTTACTTGGACCTCTGCATGTCTACCCTATCATATATGTTCTATGCAGCTTTTAGAGTGTTTTAAAATGCACCCCGTCAAACATCAACAAATCACCCACCTCTCTACTTCCCCCAGCATCATTACCATAACTGAGACGCAGATTCAGTCGCCACGGAGTCCCGCCCACTATACGCGCTAAAGTGGCTGGTATAACGCCCGTAGGCACTTCGTATGCAGAGACTTCTTGCAGATTATCTTCCTGGACGGCCAAGATTGTGGACAGCAATTGCCAAGTGGCCTCATGACTTGAAAGCCAAAAACCCGCGAACTGAAACGTCAGGTCGTCAAAATGGGTCCTCAGTAGCGTGAACAGCAGCTGGGTAAGCTGAACCAGAACGTGGTGCCCCGAGTAGGTCGACGCGCAGCAGAACGACTCTTCGAGAAACCTTGAAATTACAAATGACGCGCAGTGAAATGACATCTTCTCCATTGTGTTCCAGATCAAGTAGGGATCGCACTAACAACTTCAGATGAATGGTGTTCTTTACAATCATCGATTCATGGAAAAGCCCAGCCCACTCTGAGACTAGCCATTGTACAAGCCCAGGAAAAAGGGGAAGAACACTCATCATTAGTGTATTCCACTGCTCGGTTTGATCACGATCAATTGGTTCCAACATGGGTCTTTCTGTACCGAGCCACTTCTGAGACAGCTCAAAATCAATGTTTTACAAGGTTTCCAACCGCACTCCAAGTTCTGTCTCCAGTGTTGCTGGGATGCGGTCGAGGACCTCTTGTGGCGTCGATGCGTCGTAGTAGGCGTCATTGTAATTGATCGACAGGTGGACTTGCCCGCGGAACGTCCACAGGTATAGCAACATCTGCCTGTTCAACATGCTGACACCGAAGCGAAAGCGTTTGACACTAACCGCACCATCGTATTCTCCTGTCAGGAAGTGGTCGATCACGCCCAGGCTACTGAGCGTGATGCCGCTTGGCGGGTTCGGCGGCGGGCCCGGCGGACGTGGAGCAGTCAGGAGAGCCCGAGACGATCTTTTGTAGATCTCCCGCAGTGCCTGGGAGAACTCGTTTGTATGCCAAGTTTTAAAATACTGCGTCAGAGTAACGGTCCGCTCTCTGAAAGTGCTGTCCCGCCGCACTGCTGGCGTGATGCTCGACACATAAGTTCGCACCGAGTGCGCTGGGGAATTAAAGGGTGCCTTGAGATACGGCCTCATGTTGACGGCCATGATAGTGGAGTACTCGGTGGCACCGTCAATCGACGTGAGGGCAAACATGATTTCAGCCAAGGCGGCATATATCACGGCTGATACGCTGATCTGGCGCTCTTTGCAGGCTTTGATGAGAGCTTCGGAGCTTTCCGGGGTCAACACGATGGATCGATTGGCCGGTCGAGCAGGCGGAGTTGTCCTGTCGCCTTTGTATGAGAGACCGATGGAGCGTATGGCTTTCTGTTCAAAGTTACTGGTCACGCGCTGCGCCATGTCCTCGATCTCTGGGGACGTTGCCTCTGGGGATCCTGCAGCGTCTTCCAAGCTGGGGGAGATTTTGTGTAGATCAGGGCCCCATTGCAAGGACGCAATGTCGGGCTGCTGGACGACCAATGCGAACAGACGGTCGAGGAGGAGACAGCAACCAGCGGCATCGACGCGCCAGTGGGAGGCGAGGAACAGCACTTCGGATGTTGCGGGAAGGTAGTATAAAGCAGGGAGATCTCGTAATGGGTAGTCGACAATGATCTCGTCGGGCTGCTGATTTTGCTCGACGATGAAGGTCTTTTGTGCCCATTCTTCAACGATGTCCGCGGTGGGCAGGGTATACACGGCATCGTAGCCATCCAAAGTCAACGCCAAGGCTGGGAACTCGAATCGCAGCGCCTTCCACGCATCGCGCAACGCTTTCGCAGGGCTATGAAGGATCGGCCCGAAGTCGACCGCACAGACTGTGTACAGGCCCCAGTGCTCCTGACCAGTGTGTTTGAACGCGGTGGACATGAAGCGGTAGATTTTTTCCAACCCACCAAGCTCCTTCCGAAAGGTGCCCGGAGTGTCTGCAGTCCAGGCCATTTTGACAGTGGAAGGACTTCTTGCCTTGGGGCGAGATCAAAGCCAAAAGCCATCATCCTTACATAGTTGCGTTTGCAGAAGGCTCGCAAACCCTTGGTCCCTGAATAAGAAATTGTTCGTGAGCTGAACCTTCTAACTTGGCAATAACACAGGAATATGGACCTGAAATAATTCTTGACATCTTGGACTACCTCTCTTTGGACTAGAAATACCGATTCTTTCTCACTCCGGCGTGAAAGTGCATTGTAGATCTCGAAACAAAAACTCCGAGAAACCCTCCGAGAAAAACTCCGAGACAAGAGCTTACGCCAGCTGAAGAAGAGGCAACCTATTAGGGCTCATCGCGGTTCGGCGAAATTGGAGTCAATAAAAGCGCCCAAAGCTCTGCAGCGTTATAAAGCTATTTGCACCCCCCTTGCATGCATGAACCTTGCATATCCGCTTCCCACTTGCTATTGGCTATCATGTTGTTCCACGTGGGCCTCTTAGCACTGCCAATTATCGTCGCAGCAACAAACTTTCAGCAAACCAACCTTACTGCCCTGTTCAGTCCGAGCCTGTCTCCAGGTGCTGAGATCTTTTTGCCAACCAATCCCGACGACGACGAAGACCTAACTCAGCGATGGTCCTTAGCTTTTGAGCCTTCATTCGTACTCAACATCAAACCGGCCACCAATGAAGATGTTCAGAATATTGTAAGCGCAACGCGAAAGAAGGAAATTCCCTCGTGACGGGCGGTCGATGTTAAATGATGTCAGGTGAAAATTGCATCCGAGTCCCACATCCCATTCTTCGCAACAGGAGGGGCCCATGGCGCGGAATTGGGATTCGCCACCGTCAAGAATGCCGTGAACATCGATCTGGGCAATTTTAATTCGACCGAACTGGACGCCGCGAACAATCTGCTCACTGTGGGAGGCTCCACGACCTTTTCGCAATTCTATGACCTGCTGTACAACGCCGGGAAGGAGATTCGTACGTGACTGCTGTCGCTCGTTCCATGTATTTCCGTCCGTGTTAAGCGGAAAACTAGAAACCGGGAATGCCCCCTGCGTCAACATGGTCGGCGCGACGATCGGAGCGGGCGTGGGACCCCTTGAAGGTCTGCACGGCCTGGTCCTCGATGCTCTGGTTTCGGTGCGCATGGTCACAGCCTCGGGCCAGTTGGTCACGGCATCTGATGACGAGAACGGGGATCTCTTCTGGGCCGTCCGCGGCGCGGGGGCCAACTTCGGCATCATAACCTCTGCCACTTATCGGGTTCACAACCACACCAACGGCGGCCAGGCCGTGAACGCGGACTTCATCTTCCCGCCGGCCGCCAACGTCTCGCTGTTTGAGGTGCTGAAGTCCTGGGACGATGACGATGTTTTCCCGCAGAATCTCGGCCTGGAGATTGCGGCGTCTTTCAACCACACGAGTCAACTGGTAACAGTCCTTCCCAGCATCCATGCGATGTGGCACAACACTTTCTGACATCGATCGATCCGACCGCAGCCCAACCTCGACGCCAACTTCATCTTCTACGGCACCCAAGAAGCCGCCCAGCCGTACCTGGACAAGCTGATCGCGCTGAACCCCCTCCGGTACCAAAACCTCACCGTCGGCTGGAACAACCTCACCAACGTGGCAGGCTTCGGCCACGCCTCGGGCGTCTGCGCCCGGGGCGACTACACCACCCACTACAGCCTCGGCGCGAATCGAACCGACGTTGCCACCTTCTCGGCCTTTTTCGACAACTTCACCGCCTTCTCGGCGGCGAACCCCTGGTTCGATGGCTCGTTCGCTCTCGAGCGCTACAACACCAAGGCCGCGCTGGCGGTGCCGGAAAGCGAACGGGGAGTCTATCCGTGGCGGGACATCAAAACGCTAGTGTGAGTTTTCGAAAGCATTCCATCTGTTCCACCCTTGCCCATTCAGCAAGCGGGAGAGCAAAACCGCCAATCCCCATCCCCACCCCCTCCTTTTTCATCCCATCCTCTTCTTTTCTTTCCCTCTTTGCAATCTCCCCACTAATCCCCCCCTCTCAACCCCCCCAGCATCTTCGAAAACGTCTACCCAAACTCCAGCCACGACGCCGCCGTCGCCGCCTTCTACGGCCCCGTCCGGCGCGCTTTCCAGGCCGTCAGCGGCTTCGCCGTGCCCCACGTCTACGTCAACTACGGGTACGGCGACGAGGGGCCCGCGGCCTGGTACGGGGCGCACAACCTGCCGAGGCTGAGCGCTTTGAAGCGCAAGTGGGATCCGAGGGGTTATTTCGGCGCGGGGAATCCGGTGCCGTTGTCTTGGGAGGGGGAGGGGGAGGGGGCATTAATTAGATAAGAATAAGAATAGCTAGGATGTTGTAATTGTATGCCTGCGCGTCACACGACACCCGGTTTTTTGTTTTGTGTTTTTTGTTTTTCTTGTCTTTCTTGGAGCGAAAACATGGATGTTCTGTTTTTTTTTTGTGGAGAGAGAGAAGCATTAGATCTAGAACATTTCGGAAAATTTCCCTGGTGGCACTGACAGATTAATTCTGCGAACCAAACTTCGAGCCTGAAGCGCTGTATGTGTCGGCGGGAAGCTGGCACTTTGAGACCGGGTTTTCTCAGGACCGGAGTCTATGCTTGTCGTGCCTATGAAGCCTTGCATTGATGTTACGTCGATGCTCTCTCTCTCTCTCTCTCTCGCTCTCCAAAGCTCGTGATGGGATTCAGATGGTTGATGAATAGGACGTCTTACGTTGCCAATGTGCTTTTTAAAGATATAGAACACCTTCTACAAGGTACGCTATGAAGAAGGTATTTAAAGAAAAGGTAGAGGTGTTTAAGGTATATAAGCTTGTGAAGCCTGGAGGAGCTCCACAATCGGAAAGGACTGTCTGGCTTCTGGGTGGGCTAGTGAGGTCGTTGAGTTGGGGGAGGCTTTGGTCACAGTGGGTATTTCAATTTTTGGATTTTCATAGCGCTTGACTTTACCTTTTTGGCACTTCTCGGGTCTGCGACCGGCAAGGGATATGGCAGCAGAAAAATGAGTGAAGTGTATTTTTCATTCTTGAAATAATTGCTTTTGATCCAGCGTCGCTCATGTGATTTGAAAGATAGTATGTGGTGAACCTAATCCTGTCGATGCCGAAACGAGATTGTGAACACCAGCACAGGAAAGTAACCTTCTCGATGGCATGACTCAAGAGAAGTAGTTCGCTTCCAAGTCCGCAACCAAACCCGGTTGAGTAGGGTGCCATCCCAGCTCCTTCTGAGTCTTCTCACTCGAGGTGGGATTGTCCATGCCGAGCAAATGGGCGAAGAAGCCAACAGCCCCCATGGCTTCCTGCACCGACTGACCTTTCAACGGCAGCTGCAGATGCTCGCTGACCACGGTCAAAATGTCTTTCATCGGTACGCCCTGTTCAGCCACGGCATGGTAGGTGGCGCCCGCGGTGCCTTTCTCCAGCACAAGACGAAGCAGAACCGCAGCATCATCTCGATGGACGGCGGGCCATCGAGCCGATCCATCACCAACGTAAACAACCGAGCCCTTTTGGCGGTACATGTCGATCAATCGCGGGAGCATGCCTGGGTCTCCTGCGCCGTGGACCGTCGGTGTGAATCGGACCACGGCGCCGCGCACATGCTTTTCCTTGGACAGCGCGTAGACCAAATCCGCCGACTTTACGCGGTCGGACATGGGGATGTCCCGTTCGGGTTCCGTGTCCTCGACGGCCAGTGTTCCCTTGGGTAAACCCAACGTGCCGGAAGCGATGATGAGCGGCTTGTTCGTGCCGGCCAGCACTTCCCCCATGGCTTCAATGGCTGCTCGGTCCGTCGCACAGGCTCCGGGAAAGTCTTTGAAGTCATGGATGAAGGCGAGATGAATGACACCGTCAGCGGCCTTTGCACCGCTCTTCAGACTCTCGATATCACTCAAGTCTCCCTTGTGCGCTTCTGCACCCGCTTTGGTAACGGCTTCGACGTGGGCATCATTCCGAGCGAGACCAAGCACCTGGTGACCGTTTTTGACGAGTTCTTGGACGGTGGCGCGTCCGATGAAGCCAGCGGCACCTGTGACGAAGACACGCATGTTTGCTCGTGCAGTTGGTTTGATGGATTGATGGATTGAAAGATTGATAGATTCGGAAGAATGATGCTTTGTCAGAGCTGGAATGGAAGTGGGGATTTCGTAAGCTTGGTGACTTGAGGGAAAAGCTGATGTAAAAATAAGCTGATGTCGAGATACTGTGGCATCGGTTTCCGTCTAATCCTTGTTCTTTAAGACCTTTAACGTATGCGTTGTGCATTTCGGACTTCAGACCTGAAGGCAGCGATAAGTCCGCTGCAATTGACCCTTTTACCCTTTCAATCCGGTTTTTGAACCCTAAATCCGGAGTGTCTAAGTCCGAGATGATGTCAATCACAGTCAACTCTTCATCCCATGTCCCATTCCATATCCCATAGGCAAGGTACAGTATAAAGGTACAAAAGCAAAAGATGCTGCCGCAAGGCGGCTTTGTTTACTTTGGTGTGGGCCGAAGGTATGTTGTAAGGGCTGATTTCCGCCTTGTCTACGAGACTAGAGAAAGCTAGCTCCCGAGCATTGGCCAAAATTTCTCGTCCACCTCAAGGTACCTTACCTTAGCTACCTTGATACTAGCTTACCTTTCAAGACCTAGGAGTCCCACCGCTCGGTGAAAGGACGTTTCTAAATGTCCGGTCGAAGATGACTGTGAGAGTTCCCGTAGGCTCTATCAGTCTTTACCTCACGGATCCTGACGGTTCTAATGATGCCTAATGATCCCTGGTAGCATTGACCTAAGGTAACCATTAGTCACGATTCCATCTCCTTCTCGACGAGATGCCTTGAGGTGTAATAGTCCATTCGTTCGGGCCTTTCTTCCGACCTATCTATCTGTCCACACAGTTGCGGACGCCCGGGTCGGACCTAAATCCCATCGTCGTCATCAACCTCCTATTCTAAAAGTCCTGGGCCGTGGCGATGGTAATCCGCTTATGTTGCATATCCCCGACATGACTCCGGCTCCCATGGACAGAATGGATGTCCGTGGAGAGTCATGATATTGACCGGACCGTAATGCTCATCACTTGGGCAAGTTTCGGCTCGGAACGACCCCCTACGAAGCATTCTTCTAAGCTCCCTTCGGCCTCACTTCAGAGCCAACTACTCTGGAGTTAACAGTCCTCAAACCCCTCTTCAGCCTCTTCTGACTTTCAATCAAATATACAAACAGTCGCATCGCTGTCTGATGATAACAGAAGTATCGAAGTAATCAACAGTTTTTATCGTGATTGTGATAACGATGTGGCAGCAGAGAAGGAATTACACATCAAATTACTGATAATTAGTCGCCGAACAAGATATGGATGTACGTCAAAATTGCTGTGATTTAAGCCACCTCTACGGGAAACGCCTTCACCTGCCCGAAAGGATGCTGACTGCCGATCTGGATGCTGACTGCCAGAATGAATGCTAATAGAATGTCCCACCAAAACCCATGCCCGTAGATAGATAAGTGGTTTTGTCCAATCAACATGGTGGATCTCCATAGGCATCCATTATGGTCAAAGGATTAAAATGGCGTCCAGGCGGAAGGATCCTCCCCCAGTGAGATGCAACACTCATGTTGAGCCTTCTCTCTGAATTCTTGGTTCTTGGCCTGCTTATCCAGCCTTTCCTGCAGAGCCTTACATTAATGCCTAGTCAATTTCTGCTTACAACCCCAGGTTCCACTCTTCGGAGATATCATTATACCACGAGAATCCATCAAACAATTTGAGACCTCGTCCAATACCTCCAGGTCACTGTAGCGACAGGATCTCGTCAAATTGAAGACACTAAGTACAGAATGTTTTCACCAAGCTCCGACACTCAAGCTCCGCGGCAGCTGCCCGGTTCAGCGTGTGAGGAGTGCAGGAGACGCAAGCTACGATGCGATAGACAGGAACCCCAATGTGGTAACTGCACGGAATCCGACATTGAATGCAATTTTCGAATATCTCGTCCCCCAAGGGGTCCGAAGAAAGGTCACCTGAAAGCTTTGCGTAATCAAATAGGTAACACAACTGAGCCCCATTCTAGGAACCGAAGCTGATGATGAACCCATCCCAGCGGCGTTGGATGATCGTGTAGAGCGGTTGCAAAAGAGGCCCGCAGCGAACAAAGCATACAACAACCCGTCGCCCGTCCCAGCGGCGTTGGACAATTTTCCGGAGCAGCTGCAAAAGGAACCCTTAGCGAATCAAGCATGCAGCAGCCCGTCAGAAACTGTGTTTATGGACAATTTGATGTCCAACGAAGTATCTCTCTGGCCTCAACCTCTCCCGTCCACTTCGTTGGGTACTGAGAACCGCCCTTATGGTTTATCTTCTCCCGGGAGGTCTCCAATGGAGAAGGGAGGGACTCCCCCAAATGTTTATTTGTCGGACTTGGTGAAAGTTGATCTGTACGTAAATCTCAGATATCTTCTTGGTCGGCAACTGATCCATTCCATGTAGCGATCAGTTATTCTTTGATAGGGTGTATATTTTTGCATCGATGATTCATCAACGTCGCTACTTATCCTGGTCCAAACAATCGACGAATAGCCCAGCCCGCGTTTGTCTTCAGTATGCCATGTGGACCATGGCAGCATCATTTTCGACGCAATTTCGAAACATCCAAGACAATCTCTACCGAGAGACCAGAAACATGTTGGAAGCGTTCGAGTCGGACAGTGATAAAACCGAGATGATCTTTTTGGAGCATATCCAGGCATGGATTCTATTGGCAATGTTTGAGTTCATGCACAACAACCATCAACGAGGCTTGATGAGTGCAGGGAGAGCATTTCGCCTCGTCCAGATGCTATGTCTTTTTGAAATTGACAGTCCAAGCTATGCTATGGCTCGACAGTCCTGCGCCCCCACGGACCATGTCAAACCCGAGGAAAGTCGAAGGACGTTCTGGGTAGCCTACACCATGGACAGGGTTGTCAGCTTCAACTATGGATTGCCGCTGACGTTGAATGAATTAGAGGTGAGCAAGAAGTGATTCCATACAAATGGTGCTAAGTAGTATTCGATCAGATTTGCACTCGGCTTCCCACTCCCGAAGCCAAATTCCAAAGCGGCGAGCCAGCTCTGATGGGGTTTCTGTGTGAAGTCATGGGTGGCATCAACCAAGACAGTGTCCCCCCTTTTACGGAATGCATCATTCTGGCCACCATTTGCGGACGCAGTGTATCCCACAAGCAACGAATGACCGTTGAGGGAGTTTATGGAGCGTCGACGCAGGACTCCCTCGACCGCCATCAGTGGCTCAATACCATCCTGGCAGCAAGAATCCAAGTCCTGTCACTCAGCTGTCCTTCCACGTCCGAGTCTGTAGATCCCATACTGATATTTGCAAACCTCCTTGCTCAAGCCACAGTTCTCTATCTCTACAAGATCATTGAACCCGTAGTCTTGGAGAAAGATGAAAACCAGGGTATGATGGCTCAATACGAGCAGCAGTCGCTCACAGCGGCGGAGGAGACAAGTCACCTCACCAAAATGCTGGCGCAGCTGAACCATTTCCAAGTAAATCCTAGCCCTCCCGTGCAGCGTTTTTTCGGACTTCAACCATTGACTTTCGGTTGGCAGGCTCATCCGTTCGTTCCGGTCTGCCTTTTTGTGTGTGCAGAATTCTTCATGAAACACAGAAGCGTGAACCGATCCTACGGCCTACAGCTCCAGGAAACATTGGAAGCTCTCCGCAGATTGGCCAGTTTCAATAATCTTGCCAGGGTCTATCTGCATCTCCTAGGGCTGAATGATGCTTGACCATAAAATGGGGCTGCGCGCGCGGTGGTGCCCCCATTGGTGAGTCGAGACTTTGCTGGTGGTTAGTCTCATCAATCCTACAAACATAAAGGGAATCTTGTTACGCTTCCTTGATTCCATAACCCTAGTAGTGGCTTGGCAGCAGTAGATAGCTCCACTGAGCTTCCTCTGACGTACTGGGCGACAAGGCATGTGCGAAGCCTGCAGGGGCACGTCAGCAGGATGTGCAAGGTGGGTCGAGCGCTAGTACTATGAAATGGTTACGGGAGGCCTTGCCGTGGAGAGAATTGCGAGAGCGGTACTTAAAGTAAACAACCAATGGGTGAGTTAATACTAAGGACTTTCTGCTGCAGAGTTTGAATGCAAAAGACTACGAGATATAATCCTCCATGAAAAGCTTCCAAGGGTGCGACGCGCTGGAACCACGTGTCGTGATCCCTTGGGAGCCGTCGAATCTCTTCCCACGGGCCTAGGCAGCTTTGACTTGTCACATGGCCATCTGCGGGGATAATTCTTGACTGCTGTGTCAGCCGCAGGCAGTAGTGTTTCTGCTCAATGCTTACGGAGGTACCGCATCACTAGTTGCTCCTGTTTGAAGCTTTTGTTGCGGGTGGCTTGATGCTTCGGGGAATTTTTGATTGGAACATAGAACATAAAATGTCCCGGATGCCAGGCCCAGCCCATCAACATGTCGCGCTACTGCGCGATTCCCTCGCGCACGGACACTTGGCGTGATCAAAGCTTTGCGAGGCTTAGAACAGCCGGATTGATGTCTGGAAACTTGAATGTCATGCTTCCTTGGTATGGAGCGGTACGAGGGAGATTTCGTGAGGAGTTCCTCTGGACAAGGCAGACTGTGGAGAGATCTTGGATTCAGCAGATCCAATCAGACATATCCCTGGCAATAGCATGACTTTGGAACTATTTCAGTCCCAATAGGGTTGGTGGTGGTGGTGGGCCGGAATCTTATGTTTCCGGGCCGAAATTGGAGGCCTTTCTGAGAATATCTGGAAATGGTGGGTGAGGGAATTTTGAGCACTGCAATAAGAAACTCCGAAGACTGAAGCCTGGAGCCTGGACCAAAGGATTGAATCTGAGATTGTTCAATATCAAAATCTCTTCGTCCACTCTTCCCCGTGACTGGATTCTTTAATTAGATTCCGGAGCCGCTAGTATGCCTCATATTGCGATCCTTCCCCTTCTCTACACGGAACAGCATGTGGGCGGTTGTGAACACAGCCAGTCTTTCACGCTCCTACGAGGAATCCCTCTCTACGCAACCATCCAGTGCTCTTTTTCACAGAGACTTGCCAAAATTGAGCAATGTCGAGCATCCAGGGAATCCGGTCTCAGTAGACCAGTCGGACCTTCAACAGATCTTTAGCCACAATATTATCCTTCTTGGCCTCGAGTTCGAGCATATCCCACGTGCAGTTGATGTATCTTCCTCGCAGCCAGTCTCGTCGCTCCGAGGTGAGGTAGACAAGAGTATCCGCGCTGATGTCGGGGGTCTCCGTGAAGACTTGAGCAGGATTAGAACCAAAGTCATCATCACGAACAATGAGGCAAAACTACCTAGTTTTTCTTGTTCATTCAAATTTTCCGGCCCTCCCATGATGTCCGTCGGACAGTTGCCGGGGTGGATGGAGAAACAGATGACTCCCTCTGCGGCGTACTCGGCATTCAGGAGCTGGGCAAATCTCATCACGCCCACTTTGGACGTTTGATATGCGCTCAACATCGGGTTCACCAGATGCGCGGCGACACTAGTGACGTGGATCAGGTACTTAGGGCCTCCCGCTTTCAGCAGCAAGGGCAGAAAGGAGCGCGAGATTAGATACGGCCCGTAGAGGTTCACGTCCAGGACCCGCCGCCATTCATCGGGATCTGAATCTACCACCAGACCGAATTTGCCCAGGATGCCCGCGTTGCTCACCACCACGTCGCAGTGGCCAAACTCGCGTTCGACGGTACTCGCAGCCTGTTCAACACTCTGCCGATCCGTCACGTCAAGCTGGACCGGAAGGAACTTGGGAGGACCTCGATTGGCAGATACGGCGGCCAACCGGATGTCGTTCGCTAGGGACGACAGGTCAGACCGGGCTCCAACGGCGATGGATGAAGCGCCCGCCTTCGCGAAAGCCAGCGCCATCGCGCGGCCGAGGCCTCTGGATCCGCCGCTGATGAAGACGACCTTGCCGGACAGGTCGGCTTTGGTAGGATCAATCGCCGGGTAGGTGTCATTGTGTACGTGAACGGTCACGTCGTAATCCCCTATATCGAACTATCAGTGGACAAAGAACGTCGCAAGAGAGAGAAAGAAATGTAGCGACCAGGTCCCTCTAGTATGTTCGGTGTCCCTTTTGGAGGCGGCATGGTGTCTTCAAGCGCACATCCTGTGAAAATTTAACTATCCACCGTAGAGTACTCTGCTGCCTTTGTGGGTTCGAGTTAATAAAGTCAGTGTTATTGCTTCACCAAGAAGATCTGTAAGTCTGATGATAGGAGACATGTATGAAAGGCGTCATCAGGACTCACAACCAATGTCGTGGTCGTAAGAAAGTCCGTAGAGAAAGTCCGCGGAAAAGCATCGAGCTTCTGTCTTCCCAGCTTTAGCCTCTCCCTCTCTTGGATTAGTCCATTTTGCTTCTACTTCTATCCTGTCTGCTTCAGCATTTCTTGCTCCAATCTTTCCTATCTCTCATGTTCTGATCTTGCGAGCCTTTCTCTTCTGTTTCCGTTCCAAGGCCGGTGAACCCGAGCCGGCATCCTCGTCCTGCCAATTTACGTTACGTTGACAGTCTTCTGTATTAGCTTCCAAAGCTCCACCGTCTAACAAGCTGGCCTTCGAGCCGGAACGCCCTCACTGATCCGCTGTTTGCTGGTCCTCACATGAGCTTTCCTCGCAGACCTGCTCGGGGTACGTGCCGAGGCATTGATCGTTCGATGAATTTAACGTCGTTCCTCTTCGTGCTCTTTCATATCCTTGTTGCCGTGACCAGCGGTGCATCCTTCTCGTCGGCAACAGGCCAGTACCTGTTCGTTTCATTGTATGGAAAACACGCTGTTACGCAGGTAAATATGTATCTGTTGTACGTGTGGTTAATATAACATTGTGTACATGTGGCTCTTAGCATCGTCAAGAGTAGAAGGAACTACGACAATGATCGAAGACAACAATGTTATGCCCTGTTAAATAGAGGAGAGACCCCTGATGTAACTCATAGCCATAGAACCTCGATGGCCAGGTTTCTCTCCTACGCCCGTCCCAGAACGATGACAGAAGAATGGAATGACATGTTGTAAGTATGGATATGATATATGTTGGAACGACTCAACACTCGCTACCACTAGTACTCATTCGGCCTAGTCATTAGTATATAAAGGCCTTCCCTATATATAGATATCCTTCTTTCTTAGATATTATTAAGAATATTATATTTAATAATAAGTCTTATTATAGTGATAACTATATATTTAGATATTTATTAATATTAATTAATATACTTTAATAATAGTATATAGACTAGCTAGGATATATACTAAAGGAAGTTTATTTTAATATCGCCGCGGTACTTTATACGATTCTATATTACTTAATCGATTTCGCTTATTATAACAATTCGATTAAATAAAACTATAATTTCTATAATTTCTACGACTTTTATCTAGTAGAGAAAACATCTAAAAAATACTAAATACTATTAAGTTTCACACTACATTAATATATAATATACACTAAAATGAATATTAAAATGGTGTTAGAAACTTAATAATATATGTGGTAACTCTATATTATAGTATAAAGAGAATATTATCTATATAGAATTATTATAAGTATAGATTTCACAGTAAGATAGAAAGGCCGAAAGGCCTTAGCACGCTAAGCTTAATTGGGTTATAATATAAATAAGATTATTAAAATCGTAATATTATCTCTCTCTTTAATTCGAAGCTTCGGCGATAATTATTATATAGTAGATATCGATCTTATAGAAAATATATCTAGATATATACGAAGTAATATCCTTAGATATATTAACTTAATATTTTATAATAGATTCGAAGTCTTCTTATAAGTTAATATAGTTACTATAGATTAATAGCGCTAATAAAGAAAAAAAATTCGAAAATTTTTTAAATAATAAATAAGGGCTAACGGTCTTAAAGTGATAATAATAAAAGTCTACTATTAGATTTAGATATTCTACTATATTCGTAAATAATTATTAGAATAGATTTTTCTTAATCTTAGAGTCTCTATATCTAATTTTATATATTAGATATCCCCTCTTACTAATTAAAGAATTATTTTTTCATTTATCTAATTTAAATTAAACTATTTCTTTAATATTATAAATTTTATCTTCTTTATTAATATCGATAGAAGATAATAAAGACTTAATCTATTCTAATAATAAATCGTTATTATTAAAATATAATAGCTATAAATAAAAGATAGAGTAAATATTATTTATAAAAGTAGAAAGTTCTAACTCGTAAGCGAAATTATTTAAAGTTTTAATAATTTTAAATAATTCGAAATTCTTATAATCTAGTAATTTGCTAAGATATATAATTTTAATATTTCTTTTATTAAATATAATTATATCTTTAACTCTAAATTCTAATATCGAAAGCTAATAATAATTAGTTTACTTCTTCTATAAAGCTTATAATTATTTAAATTAACTTCTTAAATAATTTTTTATAATATCTATTTTTTTAATAAACTTATTAATTAACTTAATATCTCTCTTCGCTTTTTAATTAGCGAATTAATCTTAAAAGATAAAGAGTTCTATTCTCGAGTAGAGAATATATTCTTTAGTAAGAAGAAATAGTAATATACTCGATAAGGCGTTCTTATCAAAATTAGTTTCGAACTCTACTATTAATAATAAATTTATTTAATTATCTTAATTATAATTAATATAAACTCTAAGATATTACTTTAAAATAGCGTTAGCGTTCTCTATCTATTTATTAATTTCGAGATAAAACATAATAAAAAGTTTAAATTTAATCTTAATTCTTTTATATAGTCTTCTTTAAAAATATATTATAAATTAAATATCTTAATTCGAGATAATAATAAATAAATATTCTTTCTCTCGCTATATAAATTCGATAAAGATCTAAATTATTACTTTCACTTCTAAAAAATCTAAAAAAATAAATTTCTTCTTCTTATTAAGTTTATTTATAATTATTATAATATATTAATAGAAATATTTATATTTAAAATAGATAAATAATAATATAATAAAGTTAATAAAAATATCTTATTAATATTATTTAAGAATAAGTAAAAATTTAAGAAAATCTTATTTATTCTTTTTATAAGTTTTAAATCTTTTATAAATATAATAGCTCTTAATATAGCGAGTAATAAAATTCGTTATTCTTAATTAATAATAATATTTATTTAATCTATTATAGATTAATAATTTATTAGTATAATCTTTAAATAGAGAGTTATAAATATTTTTAATAATCTTAATTCGTAATTCGAGAATATTTAATATATAATAATTTATTATAAAAATAATAATTACTTAATTCTAACTTAAAATTATTCTTAATTATTTTAAATAATAGCTTTCTCTATTTAAATATCTTTAATTAAATAATTTCTTAAATAATATTATTGTAATTATAAGCGTTCTTTATTTAATATAATAACTAAAAAGTATTAGTAATAGAGATTTCTCTCGATTTTTCTATAAACTTCTTTTAAGAAGTCTCTATTAAGGCCCTTAATAATAATTCTTTATTAGACTTCTTATTATTAATATTATCTTATTTACTAAGTTTATATAGTATTATAATTAGAGAGATAATACTTTCTCTTATATTATTTAGAAGTATAATAATAAAATATACGATATTCTTAATATCTTCGTTAAGATTATTATTTTTAAAAATTATACGATATTAATAATAAGTATAATCGTTATCCTCGTTTTTAAATAAATCTTTTACTTATTAAGTAAAACTATTAAATTTAATATTTTATTTTCTTAGACGATAAATAATACGAAAATTAAATTCGAAAAGAAATTCTATCTATCTTACTTAATAAAAATTAAATTATTTAAAAAATATAAAATATTATAAATTCTTATAATCTAAAATAATTTTAATAAAATTCTCGATAAAGATATTAGCTAGTTTAGAATATTATTTTTTAAAGACTTATATTATAGCTATAAGTTTCTTATTATAAATATTATAATTATACTCTATAGAAGATATCTTTTTAAAGAGAAATATTATAAATCTAAATATTTTATCTTTATTTTCTTATAATAGAATAATAATAATTATAAAATTAGACGCGTTTATTTCTAGTTAAATCTTTTTATTTAAATTAAAGTAAATAAATATAGAGATAATAATAAAAGCTTTCTTAAGTATTTTAAAAGCGAATTATTTAAGATATTTTTAGACTTATAAATAAATAAAGTCTTTCTTCTATTAAGTATAAATAAGATTTATTAGAAATATAGCGATTTTAGAATATTTCGTAATAAACTTCTAATAGAAATTAGCGAATCTTAGAAATATTTATATATCTTTAATATATCTAAGTTTCTTTTATTAAGTAATAATCTTAATTTTCTTTATATCTATTTTTACTTCTTTTATTATAATAATTAATTTTAGATATTTAACTTTAATAATATAAAAGTTATATTTATTAATATTAAGATAGAGATTAGCTTATCGAAATTTTTTTAATATCTTTTCTATATATTAAATATACTCGTTTTTAATATTATTATAAATAAGAATATCGTCTAGATAGATAATATAGAATATATTTAGATATTCGCGTAAAATATTATTAATAAATATTTAAAAAGTAATAAAGATATTATATAATTCGAAAGATATTACTATATATTCGAATAGATTATATTAAATAAAAAATATAGTCTTTTTCTTATAACTCTTTTTTACTCTAATTTCGTTAAAAGCGACTATAATATTAAATTTACTATATATTCTCGCCGCGTATAATTTAATAAGAGTCTCTTTAATTAATAGAAAAGTATTTTAATTAAAGATAGTAAGTATATTAAGAACTCTATAGTTTATATATAGTCTAAATCTCTTATCGAGTTTCTTTATAATTAGAATAAGTATTATATAAGAAGAAGTACTTAATCTAATATAGTCTTTCTCTAATATCTTATTAATATATTTCTTTATAATTAATATCTAATCTCTAGAGAGTCTATAAGTCTTTTTTAATAATAAAATAACTTCTTTTTTAAAATATATTTTATAATTAATAAAGCGATAAGAGGAAAGTTTATTAATTTTAATAGGATTCTAAATATCTAGCTATTTATAATATATTATAAAAATTTATTTTTATAGCTATTTTATAATTAAAGGTTTCTTTCTTAGTTTATAAAAGAATTTCTTATAATCTTTTATTATAATAGCGGCGATATTAATAGTAAATTTCGCTTTCTTATTAATAGAGTTAAAAAGTTATTTAAAGTCTTTAGATTATATAATAATAACTTAATTCTTTAATTTTTTAATTATCTTAATAAAGATATAGACGAAGATCTCTATTATATTCTTTTTTTTAAATATAATCTTTATTATATAATTTAATTTTTTTTTTAAAAATTTATTATTACTCTAGATAATAATAGATTTACTATATAATAAATAGTTAAATATATAATAATCTAAATTAAATATAATAATTCTAGATCTAAAAAATATATAAAGATTATACTATTTTAGTTATAATATTTCTAGAATAATATTAAATTATTTTAATAAGATAATTAAGTATTAAAGTTCTTTTATATAATTTTTTAAGATAAGTTTTATTAAGATTATATATATAATATTAAGAATAAAGATAAATTTATTATCGACTAGTTATAATTTATAAAATTATATTAATACTACTTTAAATAGCTTATTTATTTTAATAAAAGATATATTTATAAAACTTAGTATTAAAGCTTCGATATTTAAGAGATAATTAATCTTAATCTTTTTTATTAATATAATAATTTTTCTATAAAAGTTTAATTAGTATTTATTTTATAAAGAGGCTTTAATAGTAATAGTATACGCGGATAGAGAGACGAAAGCGAGTATTCTTTCTATTTTTAACTTTTTAATTTTTATATATAAAGTTTTTAGATCTCTAGCGATAACTTAGCTAAAGATATTTAATTTTTTAATTCTTATAATAATTCGATAAAAACGTTCTTCTCTACGCCGACGACTTTTAAGACTATATCGATTTATTCTTTTATTAATAGATCTACATTTTTATATAAAGCACTATCGTCGCTAAAACGATATCTAGTTTTTAAACACTTAAAATATCTATCTTCTTTTTAAATTCTATTTACTAATAGCTTAAAATACTTATATTCTTATATATAAGAATTCTTAATAATAATATTATTATTTCTTTTAGTAAAGAAAGGATTACGCTGATTATTTAAGGGGATAAAATTCTTATAATTATTACTAGTTTTATTAATCTCTTTCTTACTCTTTAAATCTAACGTGTTATTAATAGCTCGAAGATTTATATCTAGTACTTATAGAAAAATAATTAATTCTCGAAAAATATTAAAAGATTATTCTAAAATCTAATATTTTAGATATATAAAGATTAATCGTTTTAAGTTAAATATCTTATAAATATTAGTAAATTTTAAGAGAGCGATAGCTATAGAGAATCGTATATAGAAATCTTTAAATGATTTCTTCTTATCTATTACTCTTATACTAAATTTAAAATCGAATATCTTAGTATTTAATTTAATAATCTTATTATATATTTCGAATATATTATCTAATTCGTCGATTATTTCTTAGATAGTTTAATATAAATCTAAGATATCTTTATCTACTCTTGTTTTAATGACGTTATATATAGTAAATTTATAATAATCTTATATATAATCGATTTTCTTAAATTTAGTAAGAAAGATTATAATACTTTATTTAAACTTCGCTTTAAGATATTAACACTAGCTATCTTACTTATCTCGATTGTTAATATTATAAAAATTTGAGATGTTAAGATATCGTTTATTTAATTCTATATTCTCTACGCGATTCGTAATAGAGATATAGCGTAAGTTTTAATAAATACTATTAACGAAAATATTACTAATGAAAATACTCGGCTAATAAGATATAATCTCTATATCTTTCTTATCGAAGTTTTTTAAATTAGCTAATATATAAGATTATTACTTCTTTAGCTATTACTCTTTATATCTTAAGTCTTACTTAAATTTCTTATTTTCTTTAATAAATTTCGTAGTATTAATATAATATCTATTATATAAACCTCGAAGTCTATTATTAATTTCTCGCTTATAAGATAATTAATTATTACTATTACTTAGCTAGATATTAATTACTAATATCTTTTACGAATTGATTCTTCATACTCGCTACACCTTCCTAATTAGGCCTTAGCGCGCCTTTCTCCGCACATATCTATCCTGCAGACACATAGTTAATAAACATCTTTCCACCACACCACATTTATAAGTTATATTATATTGATTTCTTAATAAATAATAGCAACACCTGGCCCTACTTCATAGGATATCCAGGCGTCATTCCAGACGTTTATGCAAAGTCTACACCAACACCTAATAGTGTAACGCTCCAAGCCGGTCCTCTAATATACTCGCTATTATCGAGTACCTTTTAATATCGTCTAAATCGATTCTTTTAATAGACCTATCGATATTATAATAGCTTCGAATATTAGAGAATAGCAGTAGAAATAGCCAGCTAGCTAATTAGATAACCCTTTACTTATCTCTATAGACAGTGCTATACTCGCACAAATGATGGAGATGATAAGATCTATGAGTACTAGATTGGATGCATTAGAGGCTAGATCTCCTACTCCAGCGCCTACTTTACCTCTTCCACCTACTCAGTCAATACCTACCTCGCCAGCTCAGCAAATTACTTAGTTAGTCACCTAGTTAATTAGTTAAGAATAAGATAAGAGGTAAAGACCTAAGGAAATCGAATATTTTGACGATATCGGCGATATATATATCTTTATCGATCGATTAACTAGTATAGCAGAATTTAAAGAAGTTAAATTAATTTAAATTAACCTAATTACGTTATTCAAGGATACCGCATTCAATTGGTACCACTACGAATTATCTAATATCATCAAATAGACACTTAATAGTAACGCACTATTGGATCCATGGTGCCAAGCACTCATTGAGCGATTTGGGCCTAGTCATTCAGAATTGATAACTCAATTGGAGGCATGCCAGTACACTAGGAAGGATACAGCCAATAGGAAGGACGCAACGGTCTACATTCAGGACATCATGAAGATCACTAAAGGCCTCAAGTGGAATCAGCAAGACGGCCTCATGACAGCCTTCCACCATTTCGAACCAGGCCTACAGCGAGACTTGGACCCACCAAATGCAGGCCTTACACACTTCATCAAGCAGGTGCAATTACGTCAGGGGGCCTGGTATCAAGTCTATTCAACATTCGGCAAACCTCGCCCACCAGATCCATACTCAAACAGACCTCATCAAGTCCACCAATCAAGGCCTCAGCAGTCCTATCAGCAGCAGCCACCGAGACCTCCATATCGCCAATCACAGCCGCAACTGCAGCCGCAGCCAACACGTCCGCAGGTCTACTGGGGTGAAGAAGAGGAGGACTACATGTATGATGCACCGGCCGACAGCTACCATGTGGCCCCTACATACCATCCCGCAGGGCATACACCACGTCGCCATGGCAACACCCATGACGAGGGTGGAAACGAGGCTATGGTCCATTGGGCCGCTACAGGGGAGGATCACCGATGCAGTCATGAAGGCTGTACCCACTATCATTAAGGAGGAACATCGGACGATGCTCATTTTCCGATGTCTTGTTTCGATATCCATTTCTTTATTCAAAAGTTTTCATTTCTAGCAGGAGATTTCGTGGGATGCACACCACTAATTAGCCAGGTGTCTCCAATTCTTTCCGGTATTTCGATTCTTGCCATGAGGACATGGCCATTCTTGTTTTTTGTGGGCACTTGTTACGGATCAATCCTCCGCACTCGCTACACCTTCCTAATTAGGCCTTAGCGCGCCTTTCTCCGCACATATCTGCCCTGCAGGCACATAGTTAATAAACATCTTTACACCACACCACATTTATAAGTCATATCATATTGATTTCTTAACAATATCTTTATCTTAATTTAAGCGATATTATAATCGAGTTCTTTATTTTATTATTAAAATATCTTAATATTATGGCTAGTAGTTCGAAAGCTTTCTATTAATATCTTTAATCTATTATATTAAGTATTAAAAGTTTTAATAGCGCTTTTTATAAAATTCTACGAGTTAGAGATAAAGATAAAAATTATAATTAACTCTTCTTCGATAATATTCGTAAGTTATACTTCGATATAACTTAAATTAAGTTTAATAATATATCTTCTAAAGATAGAACGCTTTTCTTTATATTATATAAATAATCTAGCTTTATTAATATTTAGAACCTTCTTATCGAAGTTCTTAAGTTCTTCTAAATAATAACGTATTTATAACTCACTTATAACGATTTAACTTTAAGTATTATTTAAATTTAGGGTTAAGAGATATATAGCTAATATTAAATTAGTAAGCGTATAAAGGAAATTTAATCTAAGGTCTATTTCTTTTAATATATTAAAGATATTTATTTTCTTTAAGTTCTTATTTAATCTAATTAAATTAATCTTTATATAAATAAAAGATTTTTTTTTAAATAATCTTTTAAGTAGTAAGCTTCTTTAACTATAGCTATTAACTTTTTAATAATATATTCTCTTTTTAACTATATATTTAATATAATTAATAAATAAATCGCTATCGCTTTAGAAGAAAGATAGATAGTATTATATTAGAGACTTAATAATATATATAGTAATTCTATATTATAGTATAAAGAGAATACTATCTATATAGAATTATTATAAATATAAGTTTTATAGTAAGATAGAAAGGCCGAAAGGCCTTGGCACGCTAAGCCCAATTGGGCCATAACATAAGTAAGGTTATTGAAACCGTGATAAATGGCTACTAACTCTCCACCTATAATTACGAGTAAGTTAGAGAAACTATAAGAAGCTAAGCTATTAGATATTAAAGAGAAACTTAAGAAATTCGTTCGTTAGAGAATATAATAATATAAAATATATAAATTTAAAATACTCTCTAACGTCTTTACTAACGACTTTATTCTATATATTAGAGAGAACTTCGAGGTTCTTAGCAAGAACGTTATTACTAGTCTATAAGATTATTTATAAGTTAATAAAGCCTATATTAAGAAAGAAAGAGAACTCTTAATAGCTAAAGAATTAGTAGACGTAATTAAGAAAGAGATCCTATAACCATCAGACGACGAAGATTATTCTTTATTAAAATCATCTCATTACTATCCTTAATAACCGATTTAATTAATATAGAAATAATAGTCTTATCGATTAAAGAATATTATTTCTCTCTCTCCGTAACCGTCTTATTAATCGAAGAATTCTACTCTAATTCTCCCCTTAATACCAGCTTACGGCCCAAATTACTAAGTCTTATATCTACTATCCTCCTCTTATTAAGTTATTTAAAACTTCGTTATTAAATAAAACTATAATTATAGTAAAGAATTTACTACCCTAACTAAATTATATACTATTAAGAAGAAATATAGTAAAAATTCTATCGAAAGTCTTAGCTATAAATTTATAATTTTTATAAATCTTTACGCGAGAGTCGAGATCTCTTAGCAGATCCTTTTAATAGTATTCTTATCTATACTAAAATCTATAGTATTAAAGTACTACTACTCTAGCTATTAAGGGATTAATCTTATTATTTAATAACTCTTTAATTAATTTTAAGACTATTTCGAGAGAGAAGAATATCATCGCTTTATACTTTATAAATAAAATAATATTAATTTAAAAGATTTATTTCGAGCTAATCTCGAAAAGAATAAAGAGACTATCTTTAATAAGATGATTTAATAACTTTATTAAATTTAAAGAGAATTAAATTACGAATTTTAGTTAGATATAGCACTTCGAAATAAAATAGTTATCTCTTATAGTAATATTTCTATATATAGTATTATAATTCTATAATAAATAACTATAATTATAGAGTTAATTAATAATATCTATATTATAATTAAGAATTACGAAGAAGCTATAAAGACTAAGAGATCTAAGTTATTTAAACTTATAATATACTTTATTAACTAAAAGTATTATATTAATTAATCTTTAAATTAGAGTAATTACAGTAGATCGTCTTCGCAAATAAATAGCTTTTAGAAAAAGCGATATTTTATTTATAGAAAGATAGACTACTAGTTAACTAAGTATATTAATAAAAAATAATAAAAGTCTTAAAATAAGTTTATAAAGCGGTTTATTAACTTTATTAATAAGCGATATAACTTTTATATTTAAGAATTTAAAGATTAAGAGAATAAGATCGAGGATTTTAAGATCTTAACTCTCGATATTCAAGAAACCAACTTAAAAGAGATTAAAAACTTTATTATAATTACTTTCACAGTTATATCAAATTAAGTCTAAACACATTACTTAAAGCTTTTTAGTTATTCTATATATTATAATATTACTAAGTCTAATAGCTTTCTCAGCATTAATTAATATATCTTAAAGCAGTTTCATAATATTATACTAGATACCGAAGCTATATATATATTTACTACTAGATATAATTAAAAAAAAGTCTATATAAGAGAATTTAATATATAATTAGATATTACTACTAATAATATTATTATCTAATTTAAGATTAAGATAATAATATTAATTAGAAAACTCGTAATAAATTTACTTATTAGCCGAATCGATTTCCACATAATATAAACTAATATCTTATTTCTACTATATATTTAAGATATAAATAAACTAGAGATCTATCTAAATAATCTTAAGAATCAAGTTATTTTAAGAAATAATTCTACAGTTTTAATTATTCGCTTCTATAAACACTTATTCTTAATATAAGATTTTATATTAGTTAACTATCTAATCGATATCGAGTTATATTAACTATATCGTCAATTCGATTATCTCTTAGTTAATAAACTTATTTATACTCTAGAGAAAGCCGAGTATAATAACTCGAAATACTATTATATACTTAAGCGAATTATCGAGTTTTATATACTCTATTAAAAATACTCTTAATTTCTAGATCGTTTTAAATTCTCGCTTAAGAATAAAGATAATACCTATTTTAATTATATAATTATTATCGATATTCTCTATATTAATAATAACTCAATTCTATAAATCGTTAATAAGAAAACTTCTTTTTAAGTCGCCCACTAATTAACGAATATAACTATCTCTTATATATAAGATATATTAAAACTATACTAAATAGATATATATATCGAATCTCTTAATATTATTATCTATAACGCTAAAACTAATTTTAATAATATCGAGTTTAAATAAAACGCTAGAACTTTAAGCATTTAAACGAAATACGTATTAGTTAAAACCGCTAATTCTATTAGCCTAATAAAATAATATTATACTTTATTAAGACGAGCCTATTTAATAATTATTATGAAATTAAAGAATTAAGATATTAAAAAGAAAATTCGTTTATAAATAGCTATTAAGACTATTAACGATATAGTCGAATATAATAATATTATTCTCACATTACTAATTTTTAAAATCTTTCTCTATATTACGAGTAATAATATATTAACTCTATCTACTATTAAGAGAATAAAAGCTATTAATATAGTAATAATTAAAATTATAAAACTTTATACTAAGAGATAAATTAACGACGCTTTATATTAACGAAATAGCTTTTAAATTATAAAAATATATAATACTCTAATTAATTTCTTAATACTAATATAAAGAATATATTAAAAGAAGTAAACTAGATTATATAAATTGCTAGCTATTTCTCGAGAGATATATATCGTCAAATTATCTAATAATTCTATAGACTTTCGAGTTACTATTATTAAGTTATATTTAAAAAAAATAAACACTTTAATCGAGTCTCTCGAGTCTCTTAAATAAGAATCCCTATAGTTAGATAATACTTAATATAAAAATAACGATAATTAAGAATATTAAGACTCTTCTTAAAACGCTTTACTACGTTATAACTCTCCTTAACGTTAATATATTCTTATCTATTTTCGAAACTTAATTAATATTATAATTTATATATTTAAATTTATACTATAACTACTTTTACTAAACTTTTAGATATCTTAATAAAAAGAATTTAATAAACTACTTAAAAAGAATATATTTAAGATTATAAAGATCGAAGATATCTCTATAAAAGTACGAATATTTAATAATCGTTTTATAGATTAAGTTAAGAATAAGAGTATCGAGAAAGTCTTTAAGAAGTCGCGATTAATAGTGTAAGTATTCAATAACTCGGAGAAGTATAGAATTCTTACTTAGGCCCCTACTCGCAACAGTGGGACTGTGGGTTAGTGGGTCTATTATGAGGCCATAGCGTTGGTGGCTGTTTGATCAGCTGTCCCATTATTATGCGATATGCGATATGCGATATGTGAAAGATAGATGAATATGGCGAGTACTACTTATATGGCCACTGTATCTATAGTAGACTCTTTATTCGAATTATTCTCTTTTAGAGCTATATTATTATTCTTCTTCTTTTCATAATTAAGTCTATATAAATTAGTCTTTATTTAACTATTATAAGTACTATTTAACTATTATAAATATACTCTATACTCTTATATATCTTATAATAGCTTTTACTACTACTATTAAGTTTAAAAAAATAATTAAACGTATTATTCT